CAGGTCATCCTCACCTGGGCAGACAAGACACGTGCCAACTTTTATTTGGAACTATTTAAGAGGCTCTTTTTTTCAGGTGTTTTTAAATCCCATTATACTCACTGTCCATTATGGAGATGTTAGCAGTGGTGCGGATTTCAGATGAGCAAAGGGACCTACGAGAAGGAAGACACTTCCATTGAGTAAAGTGAATTAAAGGAAAGAATTCTTTGGCAGCTTTTCTGTTCATATGAAATGATGACTTGAGAAAACAAACCCAGATCTCCATGACTGGATTTTTTTACTTACTTACTTACTAAAAATGTTCAGAATATACATGTATCACAGTCTCAGCTTTTAAAGTGGAACTGACGGTGAATTAAAGTGCTACTCGCTGTATATCGCAGAGTCCGCTTATCGTGGTCATGACAATTTCACCTCATATTGAATAATTTTGTATCACAGGTTATCGGGTGTACTGTGTTACACATTTGCAGGTTTCCAAAATGATATATTTAATTGTGCAATTCATATCTCCAAAGGTGTTGGCTAACTACAGACCTCTCTAATCTTCCCTTCCTCTCTAAGATCTTTGAGAAATACGTCGCAAATCAATTATGTGACTTTCTACAAAACAATGCTTTGTTCGAGGATTTCCAGTCAAGATTTCGAGTGCATCATAGTACAGAAACAGCATTGGTGAAAATTACGAATGATCTTCTACTTGCATCGGACCAAGGACTCATCTCTTTTCTTGTCTTGCTGGACCTCTGTGCCGCATTTGATACCATAGACCATTGTATCCTGTTGCAGAGACTAGAACATTTAATTGGTATCAAAGGAACTGCACTCAGCTGGTTTAAATCCTACTTATCGGATCAATCCCAGTTTGTGCTTGTAAACGGTGAATCCTCAAAGACCACCAATGTTGGTCACGGAGTCCCACAAGGTTCTGTACTTGGACCAATTTTATTTACCCTCTATATGCTTCCTTTGGGCGATCTTATCAGGAAACACTGCATAAACTTCCATTGTTATGCAGACGATACTCAACTGTATCTGTCGATCAAGCCAGAAGAGACGGACCAGCTAGTTAGACTTCAAGAATGTCTTGGAGACATCAAAACTTCGAAGCCAGCTGTCACATGATACAGTTTTTATGGATGGAATTGCTCTGGTACCCAGCATCACTGTCAGGAATCTGGAAGTTCTCTTCGACCAGGATATGACCTTCAACTCGCATATAAATAAGACTTCAAGGACTGCCTTTTCTCATCTACATAACATATCAAAAATCAGGAACTTCCTGTCTCAAAGTGATGCAGAAAAATTAGTTCATGCGTTTGTCACTTCCAGACTGGACTACTGTAATTCTTTCTCTTAAGCCTCTCCAGTTGATTCAGAATGCTGCAGCACGTGTATTAACAAGAACTAAGAAAAGGGATCATATCACTCCTGTATTAACTTCTCTGCACTGGCTCCCTGTTAAATCAAGAATAGATTTTAAGGTACTTCTCCTCACCTACAAGGCACTTGCTGGTGAGGCACCGTCGTATCTCAAAGAGCTTGTAACACCGTATTGCCCTACAAGGCAGCTGAGCTCCATAGATGCTGGGTTACTTGTTGTTCCTATGGTTTTAAAAAGTAGGCTAGGGGCCAGAGCCTTCAGTTATCAAGCTCCTCTTTTGTGGAACCAGGTTCCACTTTCAGTCCGGGGGGCAGATTTGGTCAGCTCTTTTAAAGTAAAACTTAAAACTTTCCTCTTTGATTCTGCCTATAGTTAGGGCTGGCTCAGGTTAGCCCGGACCAGCCCTTAGTTAAGCTGCTATAGGCTTAGACTGCCGGGGGACTTCTTAGGACACACTGAGCTCCTCTCTCACGCTCTCGTTCTACAATAATTCACGTTTTATTAATGCACATGACTAATTCAGCTTCTTTCCGGAAGTTTTTTTTTGTGCTTTCTCCCCTAGCAGGTCTCCGTAGATTGTAGTTCCTTCTGGACCCTGGTCCTGACCGCTGCTGTGGCCCTGCTGACACCTGCTGCTGCCATCATCATTATTATTTTATATATTAATCATATTACTGTACTCGTAAACCAACATTATCCTCTCCTAAAGTCTCTGTGCTCTCCCTCCCCACAGGCCTCTGTGGATGGTGGTTCTATCTGATGGTGGTTGCCCCTGCAGTGGTCCTGCTGTGCGCCTGGCTTACTACTCAGTTACTTGAATCATTTCTGTCATAGGATTTGCATGTATTATACATTGTTCATTCTGTACACATGGCATCCATTGTAGTCTGTCCATCCCGGGAGTGGGATCCCTCCTCTGACGTTCTCCCTAAGTTCAACCTTTTTTTCCCTCTTGTTTTTTGGGGAGTTTTTCCTGTGCCGATGTGTGGGTTTCGGGACAGAGGATGTCGTATGTGTGCATGTGTACAGACTGTAAAGCCCTATGAGGCAAATTTGTAATTTGCGATTTTGGGCTATACAAAATAAAATGAATTGAATATCATGTTTCTCACACACTTCACAATCTCAAAGCTCTGATGCAAGTTGGAATGGGGACACTTGTTTCGTGTACCAAAAACTAATTCAAATGCTCCCTACACAGGTGAATATGTCGTTCAACCAGCGTTACACTGGACCACACAATGACACCATGATACACTGATTGTGGTTTAAGTGCTGCCTTGAGATTCCTGATCCTGTTCAGTAAAATGAGCAGTTCAAGCACTCAGTGTTTGCTGTATTATTACAATGGTAAACTGTACTTGCATAAGCTCAGCCAACATCGCGTATAATTAATGAATGGAAAGCAATAACTGTACCCACTGCGTACACTGTCCGGCCAGCTGCACACATGTTTGAAGGGCAGCTTGACAAAAGCACGAAAAGGCTTCGCTGACAAAACAAACTATATTTACTTAAAATATAGTTTGGATGTACTAAATACACGTTCAGTACATATTGTATTGATTACTGAAAGTTAGGTTCAGCTTGAGGCAACTTAAGGCAGATCACTTTAAACTGTCAAACAGAACAACGTTTAATATTATAGACAGTGACGATGTTTAGAGTTAAATGAACCGTTCTTCAAATACTTTCCTTAAAATGTAAGTTTGCATTTGACGTTAATTTATGTACTTGTTTATTCGAAGATAGTGAGCTAGCCGACTTACCTCAGGTGTCACAGCTTTGTGTCCTTCGATAGCTCTGATGCAACTTTGAGTTTATAACTCCTTCCAACCTGTCAATGTGTTGTTTGTTTTCCGATAATCAACACTACGAAGTTTGTAGTACAAACTACGTCTGTAATGCACAAGTTATAGTTAAAAAATAATACATTTGAATACAACTTTTGTTGTATTCTCCACAACAGTCGCACGGGACGAGGGAAAAAAAAATCTAAACTGGCGCTAAACGAAGGACCCTTCCGTGTTGTCAAAGATGTAGTAGCTGCCCAACAATCTGCCTGAAAACAAAAACTTTCTATATCGTAGAAAGTCTTTTACGGCTTAATTTAATTCTAAAAGGACACATAATAAGAAAGTGCAGTGGGCATTTCAGCGGCCCAACACAAAATTCAATTTTGTGTTGGTATTGGTCAAATCTATAACCATTCCGCATGTCTTACATTAAGATACTCGAATGTCAGTATGGACTCAAAAGGGCGCATGGAGATCCGTGACATTCAAACTCTTGACTTTTTTTAATGGGAAGCCCTGTGTCATCACTGTGCGAAGATGGAAAAAATCAAGTAATGGCTTTTCATTAGGTCAACAACAAAATGTCATGCAAATATTCTGCATCTATATCTGTAGATTGCTCAGCAGATTGAAGCACAGAATTGTGAGAAAGAAAGGGATCCTGATGCCCTCTACGGGAAGTCACAAGCAGGGCACATGGACAGTGGTTTGACGGGCCCATCCCGAGGTCGACTCAGAAGTTTGAAATCTATAATGCATAGCATTGGAGCATCAAGCAGTATGTCATTCTAAATTATGAACCAGTATTCACAAAACAAGTCACAGTGTTTGTTGGCATTTCTAGTCAGATGTGCTGAAACTGATCACATCCCATATAGTTCATCGTGGATTTGTTATGATCTGTAAGGTGAAACCAGTAATCAGGATGTAGTAAAAAGTAATAGAATTAAAGAAGATTGCATTTTAATTTCATTTCAAACACGCTGTATGTATTTACTTTAAAATAATGTTTTAAGAGATAATATTTAAACATCAGTATACCATTAACTCACGGTAGATACGTTGTCATTCGGCAGGCTTACATTGCCTCTAGGGGTGGAGGGATACAAACAACGACTGAATCTTTTATGAAGCAGAGGGCTTGCTATGCGTGTCTGCTGCTCTATGTGACCAGCTATCATCAGTACGAAAACGATAATGGTAACAGTGGCAGTGAATTCATGCGGCTATAAACCAATGTAGTTGAAAAAGGAAACAAAACTTTTGAGAAGATCGTTGTTTGGGTTTCAATAATGAAGTTCCACGGAAGTACAGAATGTTATGTGAGCAATAAAACCAGGTTCTAGTTCCACATGGGGAACATATAGTGGCCTCATGTCTGATGTTGACAATTCAAATGACTAAATTGCCCTTTAAAATAATAAAAGATTGTGGGACTAAAGTCTCAAAAAGAAAGTCTTTGTTTTCAGAATGACCATTAGAATATAACTTAAGTAACAAGCTCTGTGGATGAAGCCGCATGCGAAGACAAAGACTGCATTAGGAAGGTTCTAAACAGCTGCATCAGTATTAGTACACTGTTCAATAGCGTATATTTAAAGAACAGGGCCTTAAATAATGTCTTTTTTTCCTCTGTTGCACAAAAACAGTGACTACGCTGTTCAAGTAATGAGGACACCCGTTGATACGGGCCTGCTGTTTATCACTAAGTTCAGGTTGAATTCAAGTCAATTGTATCATTAAACTCAAGGGTTTTTCATAAACTTAGTCACAGAAATAATCTTCCAGTACTGTTACAATATGACCAGAAGAAGACAGGATTTTGCAGATTTTATTTTTATTCAGGAGTACAACATGGAATCTGAAAGACTACTTTTGAGCAGACTACTTTGAGCCTCCTGCACAAAGACGTAGAAAGGCTGGGCTTACAGTGACGGATAACTAAACAAGTTAAATATATTACATACTAGTTACAGGGTATCTTCATATTAAAGTGCCTACATTGTGCGTTCGCCAACCACCCAGTCATCAGCTGAAACAGCTTTTCCTAGCAAAGAATATAGATAGAATTCCATTGGACTTTTTTAACGTTTATACCCCAACTTGCAAAGGCTGAACTTATTGAATGTCTGCATCGCACACGTGACCGTCTAATTACAAAAGGGTTTGTGTAACTCTTTTCCAAACTTGACACTTCAAAAATTTGTCTTGTTTAATTTCAACGAATTCTCAAGTTTAAAATAAATTAGAGGGGAGCAATAATTCCCTAAATAAAGCCGTAGGATCCTTTTCTTTTAAATCCTACCAAAAAGTGAACTCTTCCCTTCGTAAGGTGAATATTACCGGTACCCAGGTGACCGTGGAACTGTGAGAGCAGAGGAAGACTTAGATTGAGGTGTAAATGGAGCCACTGTTGTCATGGATGTTTTAACGGTGGAGGTCTAGATGATGCAGTCCATGATGTGGATCTGCAGGGAGTCCAGGTCCGGCAGGATGTCATTGCACTTGGGACATGCATGTTCTGGAATATTCCCCTGATGCTGCCAGTCGGCACCTGAGAGTCAGAGACAGTGATCACAACCTCGATAGATGTCCCAGTCACTGAGCGAGCCCTGGCCTACCTTTCAGACCGGTGGCTGCGTTGCAATAAATTCTACCAATCACGATTTACGGGTCAGTTAGTTAATACAGTGGTCCCCAACCACCGGACCGCGGACGGGTATCGGTCCGTGGGCCATTTGGTACCGGGCTGCACTACAGAAAGATTTTTTTTTTCTTTTCTGAAAAAAATGTTTATTTTGAAAATTGACCGGATTCTCTAATTATGTGCGCTCGTCCCTCTTGACATATTTCCCAAGTGCCACCAAGCGTTTTTCTTCACGTTTTCAATTGTCCTCTTAGTGTGCACGGCAGTTTCGGCCACCAGCGAACTAGCGCGAACCTGAAATGAGTTCGACACCTTAGGGTAGAGTAATGGAGGATTTTAGGTTACCTAAAAAGCAGAGAAAACTGTGCCAGCAGCCGAGCATTCGCGTTGTTTTTTAGACAGTAAGTAACTACGAACTAAATGTGTAAGCAAATAAAACGAGTAGCCTCATAAAAGCACGAGTCACTGTTTTTCTGATAAAATTACATTTGGTCACAATGCAGGCATCACAGAGACAGGGAAAGAGACAGGCAAGATGAAAGCAGTGGCCAGACAGGGACAAGCTCTGGACATGCAGATGATCAGGTGAGAAATTAATGTGAAATTTAATGCAATTTAGTATTGCACATAGACAGTCATTTTAAGTATGTAGCGAAGTAAGTGGTCTTTCTTTTTCCATTGGAAGCTATCCTATTTGCTACAGTACAACTGGAAAAGCATAATTGTAATTGGTAGGTGTGTTTAAGGTCAGTAAATAGTAAGCAACTCAGTCACTGTCACAGAGAAATTACACTATTCCTTTAGATGTGAATTTAAATGGTCAATGTAGTCCTTGAAACTATGTTTTAAATGTGCAAATCCATCCATCCATCCATTGTCAAACCGCTTATCCTGCACACAGGGTCGCGGGGGGGCTGGAGTCCATCCCAGCCAACTTCGGGCGATACAGGGTACACCCTGGACTGGTCGCCAGCCAATCGCAGGGCTACAAAGACATACAACCATTCACACTCACATTCACACATCTACGGGCAATTTAAAGTCCCCAATTAACCTGATCCCCAGAGCATGTCTTTGGACTGTGGGAGGAAGCTGGAGTACCCGGAGAGAACCCACGCAGACACGGGGAGAACATGCAGACTCCACACAGAAAGGCCACTGGGCGAATGTGCAAATCTTCATATATAAATATAGAATTGTAGGCCATGCACTTAACAAAAAATAATAATATGGGGAATGGTATTCATTTGGATGTCTAAACCATGGTTTAATGATAAACTTAGCTTAGCATAAAGAGTGTAAAAGGGAGGGAAATAGCTTGCTTGGCACGGTCAAAAAGGCTAAACTAATGAGTCTCTACCTGGCGTGCCCAATTTAGATCGCCACAACTTGAGTCAATTGAAAAGTAACTTGCGAGCCAAAACAAATGTGAGCTCCCCTGGTCTACACTAATGTATCTATACTAATTAGCCTGTTGTATCATGTTTGTTCAAATGCAAATATGTGGCCATCAAACTGAGGAATTACAATTTCTGGATGCGTCACACTAAGCGTTTTTACCTATTTATCAGGTAAAAACCTGCAATTCCAAAAACATATGACGTAAAGCAGAAGTACCTCCTCTTCCGACCAGACTAGCGGTGGCTCCGTGCGGATTTCCTCCCGGTGGCACGTGTCTCTTCTTCATCTCGTTCAGTGATTGCCTGTGAAGAAGGCGGGTGTCACACGGGTGCAGTTGGTTTGTGGTGTCAAAGCAAAGCAGACCAACCGCAGGACCACGGATTTTACAGCCTAAGCTAAACTGAAATAAATAAATAAATAAAACTCCTCTCACAAGAGCGATCTGCAACCAACACCTGTATATATTTGCCCAAGATCCTTCGTTAACTATGCTAGACTTATGCCTGTTAGCACGTCAGCATCAGACTTGATCTCCGGTTTGATTCCGTACCTGCCCAGCGAGTCTAACTCCTCCTGCAGCTGGTGGTTCTGCTTCTTTACGTACTCCAGCTGAGCGGCCAGACGCTCCCTCTCTTCATGGAGTTTCTCCCTCGCTGCTCGCTCTGCGTAAAAGTCAGAGGAGTAGACCTCCGCCTGCGATAAAGCAAATAAGCACGAGTGAAACGTCTGAAACTCTGGGTGCGACGGTGCTTTGGTTCAGTCGACGTGGAGAAATCGTCAACCTGCTGACCTGAGCCTGGAACACGGATATTGTCTGTAGCTTCTCCTCTTTGCTGAAGATCTCCTGCTTCATTTGGTCGATGTGGTTCTGTTTGGCAGCCAGGGCCTCTTCGGCAGAACTCAGACGTTCTTGCATCTCTTCCACCACCTCCTTCTGCACCATGAGAGACTGAAGAGCAGAGGGCAAAAGGTCACACGTCTGGCTCCCATTTCTCTTATAACTGCATTGGGTTTGATGGAAATCTCGCTAAAACGGTCCTTGTCTTCACTGACTGACCTCTCTCTTCTTCTTCTCCTCTTTGAGTTCATTGTAGTCTTCGAATAGCTTGGTGTAGGCATCTTTCAGCTGGGCCAGGTTGGTCCTGTGAGTTAGGAGGCAAAGGGGTTAACTGTGACCCAGTGGGCGTGTCCAAATATAGGATGAACACAACTGGGGAAGAAACTCAGTTCAGATATCTATTTTTTTCCAGAGAGTGAAAGCAGTCAGATCCACATAAACATGTACATATATGTGTCGTCTCTGACCTCTCCTCCCCGGCCTTCCTTTGCTCCATCTGGGTCTGAGACTGCATGCTGTCCACCTGCAGCTTCAGTCGGCTGTTTTCCGACTGAACGGCCTGCTTCTCCCCCAGCTGAGCCTTCAGAGTGACCACGTCCTGCTCCACCTCGCGACATCTGGACACGAGAGGAACAGAATGGTTTGTGTGTGTGTGTACAGGTGGTAATAAAGCACGAGAACGTTGCCTGAAGGAGAGCTTTGCTTTAAAAAAAAAAAAAAACTGGTATTGTTGTTGGCTCGTTCACTAAACGATTTTCAGGTTCAGAGCAGACTGTGCTGGCCTAACCTGTCTTGCAGGTTCTTCTTCATGCCTTCTGCTTCGTACAGCTTGCTCTGGGCCTGCTGCAGGTCCTTGAACAGTGTCATCATCTGACACTTCAGATTTTCCACCTCCGATGCTGCCTGAAGAATGTTAGCACAATGACAGCATCACTGAGCTGAGAAAAACAAAACACTGCAAAAATGAATGGACCATTGTCGGACTGCCGAATGCACACAGTACAATGACACCACTCACGATAACTACTTTTGGTAATAAATTAATTACAATATTATTGTATTTTCTATACCATATAAGTCACTGATTACATAATGACAATATGAATATATAATAGCATAGTAATGCAAATACGTTCTTTCAAAGGATGTCTTATTCTTCAGAATATTTAGAATCGGAATGTGAAAAAATATACACTAAATAAATAAAACAAAAACAATAAATACACCGTTTTTAACAAAAAAGTGCAAGGGACAGGGATCGGGGCAAAGCCTCTGGCTTCATGCGGTAAGGAAATGTGTTCAACGGAAAGGCGCGACGCGGAGGCTTCAACCGCTGTTAGGGCGACACGCTCCGTGGCCTGCAGGGGGAGACGGGGCGTCTCGGCCCCGCTGCCAATTGGCCAAAAGACTTCCTTTCCTAACTGACTGTAGATGTCCCGATAAAGAAAACCGGTTAGTTTCCGCTCTGTCTGTATGTGTGTGTGTCTACGTCTGTGTGTGTGTGTGTGTCTACGTCTGTGTGTGTGTGTGTGTGTGTGTGTGTGTGTGTGTGTGTGAGGAGACGCCTCTGCTTTCGAAAGCAGAGGCGAAGAAATCAGACAAGATGACAGAGGCAGCGCGATCGGCTAAAATGTTGGCGACACTCATTTTTATGTAGAAATAAATATAAGATATCGCTGCACCAAAAAATAATTGCGTTAATTTCCATATACCAATTGCAATAAGTCAATATATTGATTATTGCAACACTACAATAAAATGCTGCCAGATTTAGGAATTTAACTGTTAATCAAATACCTTTTCTTCTTTCCCGGAATCCTCCTTGGTCTCTGTCTGGGGGGTCTGTGTTGATTTCTCCACATCCGTCTTTCTCTTCTCCAGCTCGCTAATTCTGTTCAAGTAATATGTCCAACACATGTCAAGAAGTAAAAATAATTAAAACAGATACACATTATATTCATATACGTTCCTGCTCATTTGATTTACTGAAATAAAAAGTGCAGGGAACAACATTCTGACATCCTGTGTGTTTCCTAATGCCATAAACTCAGCTTCAACTGGCTTGATGAGAGAGAGCATCAGCTACGGCTGGGCGGCGTGGCCAAGAATTCCTATCACTGTATTTTGCAAGATTCTGACGGTGTTCTGCTATTTCACAGTATTTTTTTTCCTAACATTCATTTATTGATGCCAAAAAGGGGGCGGCACCGTGGCGCGGTGGTTAGCACTGTCGCCTCACAGCAAGAATGTCCTGGGTTCGATTCCGCCCAGTGGCCTTTCTGTGTGGAGTCTGCATGTTCTCCCCGTGTCTGCGTGGGTTCTCTCCGGGTTCTCCGGCTTCCTCCCACAGTCCAAAGACATGCTTTGGGGATCAGGTTAATTGGGGACTTTAAATTGCCCGTAGATGTGTGAATGGTTGTATGTCTCTGTGTGGCCCTGCGATTGGCTGGCGACCAATCCAGGGTGTACCCTGTCTATCGCCCGAAGTTGGCTGGGATGGACTCCAGCCCCCCCGCGACCCTGTGTGCAGGATAAGCGGTTTGACAATGGATGGATGGATGGATGCCGAAAAGGACCAATGGCCACCTGACCAGCTCGCAGGCAAACTCGCTCGCAGCGGGCCGGCGAGTAAGCTTGTTAGCTCTTTAGCGCGTTTAGCTGCTGGTGTTGCCACCAGAGGCAATTCCAGCGGCTCGACCAACTTTGGAATGGTTTTTAACGCTTTGCGACAAGGTATGAATGAATTCTGCAGTTCAGTTGTTACGGCTTGTGAAGAATTCATACCGTAAGGAAATTTAAAACCGCCCAGCCCTGGCATCAGCTAGCGGCGAGCCGGGTCGCCTACCTGGCAGCGGAGGCCTGGAGCTCGCCCTGCAGTCGCTCGCCCCGCTGCGTCTCATTCCTCAGTGACTGGAGCAGCTGGCTGACGGTCATCTCCTCGCTTTCCAGCCGTGACGCCGTCATGCTCAGGTCTGGACGTCGGCTCCTCTCCAAACCACACGCACCGCTCACACCGTCTACGCCGTCATCCTAAGAGGAAACACACACACACACAAATATATCCCAGAGCGGCAGTTGCAGGCTTATTTTTGGTTTATTAGATGAGGCCTTTCCACGCTGAAAAGGTGTGTGTCGACTCACCGAGACCCTGATGATCTCAATGAAGGAGTCCTCGTGCGAGTCCTGGTCTGTCTTCAGCTGCAGCTCCGAGTTCATGGCCACCAGGTCGTTCTTCTCTGCCTGCAGGCGAGAGACCTGGGCCCGCAGAGCCTCCAGCTCAGCGTTCTGATTGGATGACACCGCCTGGAGACCACATCACGCGGAAATTACAATACAATACCATGAAGGCTTAAATCTTGTGAGATTTGATGTAAAGTCAGCCGGGCAAACCCTGCTTAGTTTAGCTTAAAATTATGTAATTATATAATTAATATAATTTTAAAATATGATATATTATAATAATTGTATTATTATTGTTATAACTCTAATCTGTCAGATGATTTGACCCTCTATATTCTCACCAGCACGCTTCCCAGGGCTGCCTCTGTTCTCCCGTCCCCCACCCTCCTCTTGCCAAGCTCCTGGTTTTGGAGGGTCAACGCCTCCATGCGTCCCCGAGCGTCCTCCAGCTTGTTCTCCAGGAAGTCCCGCTCCTCCCGCTGCTTCTCCCGCCACGCGGATAGACCTTCGAAACGGTCCTTCATCATGAGGTTGGTCTGACGCAGGGCCTCTGAGGTGGCAACAGACACGAGCCGAAAATAATTTGAATGAATACAAATCGCAGCAGGCCGAGTAATTTGCCATTCTTCAGCCATGTGTTTCCCAATACACCGGTCCAGTAGGTCTATCACGCTACAACTCGGAAACCACCCTGACAAGAGCCGTCAGGAAGTTATGCTTCCCCTGACTCTCGACCCTCGGGCACTATGAGACCTAATAAGAGCATTCAGAACGCTATGTTGCGGAACAGAAAAAAATAATTCTAGACTTACACCTTCGTCCACCTGTCCTCACCTTTCAGGTCTCGGTTCTCCTGGATGAGGATGTTCATCTGCTGCAGGGTTTCCTCCAACGCACCTGACTGACCGGGAGAGCGAGAGATGTCGCCATTCATCATAGGGCCTTCAGACGCCATGGCGCTGAGAAGGACAAAAACAAGAGACTGAGATTTTGAATATTAACAGAATCGTGAGAAAGATTTTCTCTTTGGAACATTGGACTTCTTACTGATCTGTGAGGAGACTGGGAGTCACTATGCACACACACACACACACACACACACAGATAAAACGTTGATTCAGAGACATCATGTGGTCTGGGCATAATCGTGTCCACAGGAATAACTGCACTGACAGAGTCTTGTTTTAATTTGACAGGCAGAATGAATAACTTATAATAAAATATAATAACATGGGACTATTGTTTTCCCCCTGCCATGTTGACAGTGCACATAAATAAAAAGTCCCTTGCTGACATCACTGAATGACTCAGTGCTTCAGCATTCGGTATCAGGAGCACACAGCCCGAATGATCTCATCAGCAGGTCATATGATAGTAAAATCACATTATGGTAACGAGGGGAAACACACTATGGCCAAACAATTACTCAATGACGACTGCCCGACACAATTACGTACAATACAACGAATGTCGCGGACACACGGCGCCCTTGTATGTTATTTTTAGCATCCGCTCTTAAAACTTTAGTTTCGCTTTCTTCAAGATGGGGCTATCCGGCGCGCGACTCCTGGTAAACACGGAAAAGTTAGCAGTGACTTGCTCATAACTCAGATGAGGCAAACTGCGTCACGAAAAAACCGCTTGAAAACGCGTAGAAGTGTTCACACTCACCCGCTGTGAAGTATATGGAAATGAACGTGGTCCGACACTTTCCTCCAGAGATACACGCAAACTCGGAGAGAGCTGCGGAATGTGTCGAGCAATGTCGTGCTGCTTCTGGGTTTGTGACGTACAACGTCACTCACGTACGGAAACCAAGCACTGTCCGGGAATTATTTTCAAAATAAAATCACGCATTGACAAAAGCGTTTTGTTTGCAAACGGTACAAGAATTGAACACTTCTTTTAACAGTGAATTATGTTTGTTTGAATTACTTTATTCGGATTCTGAATTGTTTATTTCAGAGATGCATTTTGAAGTTGTTGTTTTTATTGACAATGGACCGTGAGGCATTTTGGTATTGTTTTGTTTGTTGACCTCCCACCACTTGGGGGCGTACTGGGGGGCACTGTTTCGTGTACGTTTTGATAGTCCCTTTTACCTTAAAAACCAGAAAACGAAAACACTCGATTTTCGTTTTAAATCCCAAACGGTAAAACAGAAGTGGACAGTCGTTTTCTCGTTTTTCGTTTTGAATCCAAAACGGTAAAACGGAAGTGGACAGTCGTTTTCTCGTTTTTCGTTTAGAACCAAAAAACGAGACAAACTCACAACTTTTTGAAAATTCGAAGCGAAGCCCCTCAACCGGAAGTGCGCACGTTAGATTTCCATAGTAAAAGCAGACGCAACAGAACGTTAATATGATAGAAATTCGTCTGTGATGCAAGCGTAACATTAGAAGAAAATGTATTTTATGCATATAAATAAATCATTTGTGGCCAATGGGAGTGCGTCAGCAACAGTGGTTGACTACACGCAGATTCATTTTCATTGAGCTGCACAGCAATACTCATCTTCTAATCCACTGGCATGACAGTCATGTTTAGTTGATAGCACCTGGAAATTAATATATAACGACGATTGATCCTGAATACCTGGCGATAGTGATAGATCCATTTCTACATTGATATAATTCTACATCTCTTTTTTAGTTTTGGTCCAGCCACGTACACAGAGTGACATATAGCATTTATTACAATTATTTATATCGCTATTATATGAAAAAGAAAAACGTACGCATGCTGTTCATGGCAATGTCCGTTAGATGGCCGTCTATTCTAAGCAAATGCTGTTGAAATTAATCAACGCCACTGAATTATTAAAAGGTTTGTGTGATGTGCATTTTGTTTTATGGAAAATGCAGCCGAAGCTGATGGATCCACACGGAACCTTCTCTGACACATCATCGTTTCTGCAGAGATGTAGTCTACTTTTGAACAGTATATGAGAACTGTATCAGAGATAATGAATACCATTACCCTAATCCTTATCTGCTCCACTGTGCTACTGTTATCAATCAGGGATGTCATTGTGTTCAACGAGGAACTTCGCATCTCAACAGTAACGCACTCTTTTAACGATGATCAATCTGATAAGGTGTACCAGACTATTACTATTTATTTAGGAGGAAGAGTTATGGATGTAAAATTTGCTTTACAATGTTTTGCAACATTTGGAAGACGTTTAAAAAACACATTTTCTGAGCGCTCGAGCCACCAATCGAATTTCCAAGGCAATTTAAAATTACGGAGAGTTGTAAGAGTCCTTGAACGCAGCACCCGCGTGCTCTGATGAAGTCTGTGACCCCTGCTGTGGGAGATGAAGTGGAAGCCCTGGGGAACACAGCAGCAGCTTGTAGTGCTTTACGTTTCTTTAAAGTGGGTTAGAGGGTTGAGTTCTCGAGTCTGGGGGTGGAAAGAGTCTGTACACCTTTAGTTAAATGGAAAAAAGCACTGTGGTCGAACCTCGTGCAAAACGTTACATGCTTCAAGAGTTTTAGGTGAAGTAGAGCACCATCAAGCCTCCAGGTCACAAACCAGATGTGGAACTTTGAGAAACTTGCATGTTAGAGGACACTGACTTTGAATGAATTAGTAAAATCACAGGTTTCTGCTGTGAGGCGTTTTACCAGCAACCTACGATTCCTTTCGGGCTCTTCGGGATGTCTTCCACGACTCTTCTCCTCGCAGCGCTTGGCGTTTTAGCGCATCTGGACACTTTTACGCACGGGTGCCAGCTCCCTTCCGAGTGGCGGCCGCTGAGCGACGTCTGTCGGGCGGAGCTGGCCGAGATCATCGTGTACGCCCGGGTCCTGGCGATCCACCGAGAGCCCCTGGGCACCGGCGTGGACAGCCTTTACAACTCGCTGCCGTTCGGGTTCGGGTACGGGTACGAGGGCGCGGATGAAGGGCTGCTGTACACAGCGGAGGTGGAGTTGCTGTGCGATCAGGCCTGGGGCAGCATGCTGGAGGTGCCTTCTGGATCAAGGCTCAACCTGACCGGACTGGGGTACCTCTCCTGCCAGACCCACACCGTGATGGAGAACTACTCCTACTTCTTCTTCCTTAGGTGTGTAAGTCAGAACCTAATTCAAGTCAACTCTTTTGGACTCTAAACATTATTTTAACAGTTTAGACGTTTAATTGTTGTCACTATCAAGTCCATTAAGCTGAATAGCAACAAAAAGTTATTTTCATTTGTCAGTTTATTTTGGAGCACTGATCAGTTGTATAATCAAAACTATGGTTAAATAAAAATATTTGGTATGCCAAGAGTATTTCCAGCAGGGGAGACTTGAGATTTTTATCTTCTGATTATTTGATAGCAAAAAGGCTCATTTAAACATATGAAACATACTTGATTTGCTACAATGTCAGCCAAAACACCAATAATTCCCTCAGCAGCTTCAACTCCCTCCTCACAGTTTCTTTGACAATCTCCTCTGCAGGATGGATGAGAACTACAACATCCTGCCCCACGGCGTCAACTTCCAGGACGCCATCTTCGCCGACACGTCCGACAACAGGCGCACCTTCTCCAGCCTCTTCCAGTTCTCCAACTGCACCCAAGGGAGCCATCCTTTCCACATCTTCAGCCCGGAGTGGGACACACAGGAGGACAACAGGGTAGGATAGATAGATAGATACTTTATTGATCCCTCAAGAGGGAAATTTTGGTATCACAGCAGCATGTACAGGGAAGGAAATAGAATAAAAAGATACACATTATATATAATAAGAAATATTAAATTAAATTAAATAAACTGAAACAAAAGAATAACCTTCCAAAAGAGACAATAATAATAATTTGTAAAAGGAGAAGAGGAAGAGGAAAGAGCAGTAACATCACAGCAGTAAAGGGTTATTATTGTCATTATTTAGCCAGGGATGATTTATTGTAAAGTGTTATTGCACTGGTTTCCACAGCATCACATACAAAACCAAGATAGAGTTGTACCCCTTCAGACTGTATGCAGCATAACTGCTTGGTGGTTGCCATAATAGTGCTTGCTGCTTCATTGAAGAAAAAAAAACCTCTCCTTACACAACCCGATTACATTGTGAGAATATTAATATACAGCCCCCTTCTTTAGTCAGCTCAGTTGACACCATCTTGTGACCGTGGAGATGACAGATTAGCAGTGGGGGGGGGGGTAAGGTTTTGCAGCTTTTAATGTGCATGTTTTTCATTCATTTATCTGTGGGCGCATGTGAGTGTGTGGACACTTAATCCTGAGTTAAGTTGTGACGCTGCTGACAGGAACGTAGTAAGGATCAGTAGAAACAGCTCACTTACCGGTCTGATCCTCAGAAGGATTCAAAGAATACAAGAATACTCACTCACATGAACACAATTAAATGCCACGCTCTTCAGAGAGGCAGGATGCTGACTATCCAGAGGTCAAGGGTCAAAAAACACAGATCCACATCTTTGACAGGAAGCAGCTTTAAAGTGTGTCAGTTTTCAGCTTCGATTCACGCCAGTGTGATGCAATGTTTGCTGACCCAATACCATAAGAGAGATAAGCTGGACCGTGTCAACAGAGGAAGGAGATTCTGCCGTGTTTATTATCAAACCTCCTCTGAGTGAGCTCAGCCGGTCACACTTTGGACAAGACGGAACTCGGCCACTGGTGATGGAGCCACTCAGGTCAAAGTCCTGGATTTGAAAGGACATTCATTCATATGGTTACATCATTGTCATCATCATTGTCATTACAGTAGCCTTTGAATTCACTAGTTGTATCCGACTTAGACTTAACTGCTCCAAGAGTTGACTTTGTTTGGTAGTTTTTAACTACTGATGTCCTAGAGCAATAACATGTAAATATGATTTGTTAGACAGGCAGAGGCCTCTGTGTGTCAAAACACAATATAAAACAATATGAGGATGTTTCAGTTAAATGGTCTTTGAGGTTCTAGCCTTGTCTCCAGTGAAATTGAATTGGACATGTCCCCATAGACTTGAGTCTTGACCCATTAACTTCGACAACATGACTTGCACATATTTCCACTGCATTGGGTCTCGACTTGGACGTACTCTCATTTTGAACTTGTTCCGAAATCAACTCAGAATATGACTCTGGACAACCACAAAATATTCATGATTTAACATCACGCAGCACCGACATCCACACAGTAATTCAACACCTATTTGTGTAACTTGTGATAAAATAAATATATCAGCATCTTTGTAAGTAACAGTCAGGATGCTGCTTATTCCTGACTTGTAATGGTGTAGTGTCTTCCTTATCCTTTCTGTTCGGGTATGACCTGCAGGCTCTGACCTGTGGGGGCAAAGGTCAGTGAGGGAGGGGTTGAAGACATTTACAGGACGAAACGGGTGTTTTGCTCCAGGTATTTATGGTGGGGAGATGAAAGGAGCTTCCCTCTCCAGTTTTCTGTATAAGACTTGAAGCTAATAAAAGCTCTCTTCTGTCTTTTCCTCTGTGCTGCTAAAGCATAATTATGAATAAATTAAAAGCCACAAAATCCAATTTTGTAATTTCATCCATCCATCTCCAAAGGATCTTCAAAGGTTTTTCCCTGGCTACATGGCTACATCACTCTGTCAGTGGTATGAGTTTAGACACAAGACCACCCTTAAAACGCAATTTGGGAGGTTCTGGCTTCAGTCTCGTGGGAACCAGATGTCCCTTCAGACAGATCCACTTTTCTCCCGGAACCCTTAATTATCTTTTTTTAAAGCCTCCTCTTATCAGCAGCACTGAGAACAGCTTTTACAACGACCCTGCCTTTTTGTTATAGATTTCTTTCATTTTTTGGAAGATATTCCACTTTTTATTTTCTTTTGGGCTCCTTTCCTTCAGTTGATTTTGAAGCAAATTCCATTAAAAAAATGCTTCTTAATCAGCACATTTCCATGTTTACATGTGCTCTAATGATTATAACCTCAGCGAGGGAATACTGCAGTTGTAACATTCATGTAAACACCTTTAACAAGAGTTCCAGAGTCCCATTAACATTTTATGTGGATAAAAGGGCGACAACAGTATTAGGCTGTTTTGCTCAGTATCTCGAGCTCCTACTTTATCTGACTTGTCCTTGTTTTTCCTCCTCTTTCTGTACCAATTGTGTTCCATTTATCTCTTCATCTCTCACTCGCTTTCTGTGTTTTCTCAATAAAATCATTGTCATGTGACTCATCAGTCGTAGTCACGTGAGTCGTTAGCCAGCAAATAAAAGGAACATACATATCAATATCATGCTCACTTTTAGGTTCATTCATGTATTTTTGGTTTCGACATGAACATGTTGACGCGATTTAAATGTTTGCGTTCAAAATTAAAACTCTTTTATTTTTTCAACATTTTTTTTTCCCCAACTGTCTGAATACACCTGTATTTGCACTGTGTCCGAAGCTTTCTGCTTTAGCACCTGTCTTTTTAAGACTCTGCATCTTGTTCTAAATTCCTGCACAGTTTTGCTACATTTAGCATTATTATATGAAAACAAAAGCACGACAATATTCATATGTCACTTTTTCAAACATTTAGAGAGGAATTCATGTAAATTCATGCAATAACTTTTCCAAGGATAATATTTGGCAGTGACAAAGTTTTTAAATAATATATAGTATATAGTATATATATAGAATATATAGTTCTCTATCTGTGGGTGGAGATGTGTTCCACGGCTGACAACTAACCCTGACAAAAACCTTCTGCTGAGACTGGAAACCACAATGAGAACGGCGAGATTCCAACCAAATCTAAGATGCCGCCCCTGAAACCAAAATATCAAGAGATGGAAGTAGCCTAGCAGCTATCTTAGCCTAGCGGTGCCTAAAGTGTCCTATTGGCCACTCGCCCCCCTTCTGTTTGACACGTGGAGGAATGCATAGTGCCCCTGCATAGTTATTCGCTGTATGTCGCGCCTCTGTTTGTTTTACTTCCAACGCAAAAAGCTCTCTCCATCTTCAAAATATTGAATCTGGGCTACTTCATATAATCTTATAGATTCACGCGTTAATTGTACAGCGCTAATTTAATCTTTTTAACATTTACAGCCGTAGAAAAAACAGACAAGAGAGACACCGCATTTCAGTGGTCCGATTTGTTCACTTGAATTTGAGAACTTGTACATGCATGTGTGTTTCTTCACACGTCCTCTAAATACTGTTTGTACAGATGATGCTTAACAGCAGGCAGGTAACAACCGGATGTTTTGACAGGTGGTGTGCGTGTGCATGTTCATGTGTGTGTTGGGGGAATCCCACTGAGAAGCTTCCTGTGAGCATGAGAAAGGGTTCAAACTGTAAAAAAAAAAAAGTACAATTGTTTCGTAATCCTTTTTCAAAGGAAAGACTTTCCTTGAAGGATCGGTTCACCTAAATAATAAAGGAAATTTAATTAATTATAGATTACATTACATTGCATGTCATTTAGCTAATGCTTTTATCCAAAGCGACTTACAATAAGTGCATTCAACCAGAGGGATACAAAGAAAAACAAGAAACAAGAAAGTGCAATTTATGCAATAGATGAATAGAATATAGTTTGTACTTCTTTAGTGGTCTTGAGGGAACTTGTCGTGTCAATGCAATGACTTGAGTTCAATTGACACTTCTTTGAGCCCCGCCTCCGTTTGCGACTTCAGGAGCAGGCATGGAGGTAACTGCTCACAAGATAAGCAATTTATGTTTGAATGATTTATCAAGGATGTCAAACTGATTCAGCGGTAAAAACAGTTTAACACGATTAAGATCCTAGCTAAAGTTACAGATAAAAGTTAACGCCCATCACATGATGATTGAGACAGAAAACCATAAAATTAAGGAACATAACCGTCCCTGTAAAGGTGGTTAGGTCTTTATTCCCTATCACAATCATTAAAAAGGAAAAGCAGCATGCTTAGAGCTTCAATAGTCATGTGCTAATGTAGTCAGCTAATGTTAGCTCCAGGGATTTTTTATTTAATTGATAGACAATGAGTATCACTACTATGCACCGTTTAACTAAGACTTGATCCAATTAAACTAAACCGGCTGTGAAAATTCGAGAAAATGTGTACAACTCTTTCATGAGAGCCTGTGGAGCAGGCCGGATGACGGATGCTGCATCACGATATGATGGGTCAGTCTTCGTTCGTGGTGGGACTTAACCAAGGTCAATTGCAGCTGGATGCTTGTGTTGCATACAAATCCATATGCAAACATATTCACATGCTTTTTTTGCATTTATGTTTTCATAAGGGGCTAGATTTGGGTCTAGATGGGTGCTAGTAATAGCGTATTTCCAAAACCTTTTTTACCATGTTTGCCCGTTCCTCTCTTCAAAGTGCTGCTGGTTTAGGTCAGCTTCGTTTTCTACCAATGAGATGGAAAATTTGGGTCCCTGAAACATCAGAGTACGTGATCCCTCTCGTTGTCAAGGAGGCGCATGAGGGTGATACATATATATTCATATTCAAGACACACATACAGTTAACGCCCTCCCTTTGATTTTGTTTTGCCTTTGGGGAGTCTGTATGAATGGATGAATCTAAGTGTTGAGGGTCAGGACCTCCACTTCCTCTCCCCTCCCTCTAAGTGTGTCGGCTCTCCCAAAGGAGAATGGGAACTAACAGCACTGTGGACATCCCAGCGAGGGACTGTTTTCTTTTCTCATTCTCAACCAACTGACATGATAGTAATTGCTGCTTTACAACATTTGGGTTTGCCCTGTTAAACAAGACTTTTCATTTGTTTTAACACCCCCCTCCCCGGCCTCCTCCTCCTCCTCTCTCCAGCTGATGTGCTCCTCGGTGCAGGCCGCGCTCTTCGAGGAGGAGGAGCGGGGCCGCAGGATGCAGGAGCGACTGGTCGCGGCGGAGAGGAGGAACCGGCAGCTGAAGGAGCGCATTCGCAAGGTCAAGCGCTCCCTGGGGAACGCGCGCAAGGCCGCGCAGGAGGCGCGCGAGCTGCAGGCGAGGCTGGAGGCTGCCGAGCGGAGGGCGGGACATCACCGCAACGCCATAACGCAGGAGGAGCCGCCGCCCGGCCGTTACGCGAGCACCACGATGCGCAAGAGGACGCGACTTTGACTTAAACCGCCACCCGGCTCCCTCAACCATTACTACTTTCTCTTTAGTATCCCTCCTGTCTGTTTTGTCAGACGGCCACGCCCTTTCCTGCCACGCCCCTTCCTGTCACGCCCCTTCCTGGTCATCTGACACAATGGAACATGTCTGGTCTCAGTACTGAGGCTCTGCGGCCTTCAGTTGCCGCTTGTCTCCGGCACAAGTTGCCTCCGTGTGGTCCAACACGGCTGTGAACGATGGTGGAAGACAGAGATAATAATGGTCCAAGTTTTTAAACTACATTATGACAAAAAAAAGTCATGTACAGGTATATTTATGCTGATTAAGCGCTTCAACAAGTTTGAAATTTGAACCAAAATCATCTCAACAGAAAATGTTTCACATTGGCGTCGAGACATTTGAAAGACATCGAGATGGGAGGTGGGAGGACAAAGCTGGAGACTAATGTTAATGCGATTGGATTAAATCGAACCATTGAAGCCTCAGACCAAGGCACAAACAAAATGGGCTAAAACACGCTAAAACAAGATGTTGAGTTGAGTGGAAATGCAAATTTGTGATAACTGTCCCTTTATGAAACACCTTCTGTAATCAACACCCTAATTTGACCCATTGTTAATTGAAATAAAAGAAATATTGATTACGGCAGCTTTACGTATTTAAATATACTTGTACTTGGAAAGTATTTTAGGTTAGTGAGCTTTTTGCTTTCAGAAACCATCCAATTCAAGTTAAATAAGAAAAATAAAAAATGCCTTCCACGTAATCATGCCATGGTGAAGCAGTGATAAGAAACATTACATTTCATTTTAGAACCTTGTAATTTATCAACCTTTTCTTTAACCAACGTGAGTAGTGCATTTAAGAATGAGAATCCCGGGATGTTGCATGAGATGGTTCATTCATCATTTAGTCAATATCAGTGTTTGAAAGTTGTAAGCATTAGCTGGTCTGTTGATATGGTTTTTTCTGCATAAAAAAATCTTACTTGGATAAACATGGGTGTGAAAGTGGCAATGCTTTGAGGGAGACTATGAACACCTGGGACACCGGAACACAAAAAAAAACAAATATCCACACACGTGTCTTTTAAGCCCTCCAGGTTAAGTTCAGGGGAGATATTGTGTGTGTATAAGTCTTGTATCTGGCAAAGAAAGAGATGTGCTTCAGGTTCATCAAGTGAAGGGAATGTGTTAGCGTGGGAAGCAATGTTCCGAAACAGCGGGACGCCACTGGAAATTATACCTCCAATTCGGTGGAAGACCAAAATCTCTGGAAGGAGGCCACATTACGGGACCGGAGCAAATGCAAGGGACTCAGAATCACAGAATATCCTGAAAGAACGAGGGGCTGGTTGGATGGAGAGAAAAGCTAAATCGCAGTTTCTCGCTTGCAGCACTGTTAAACAAATCCCTTCGATCATTGTCTTCTTCTCTGCTGGTGCAAGGTTCACAGCGACGGGAAGTACTTAGTATCTCTTCCAACCGCCGAAGTAGCCAAACATGCAACTGATGCTAAGAACGAACACACTGAACCGAGATAAGAAGAATCAAGAAGAATCAAGATCAGGGATCAGGAAACATGTATTGCCATGATATGTCAGACATACAAGGAATTTGACTAGGTGCGTGGCAGTACGACAGTACGACAAAGGACGGCAAGACAACAGTGCACGGGTAATAAAATAATATAAAATGCTATGGGTTAGTAGTATAAGGCTATAGGTTAGTTTAAAATAAAACAATAAAAGTTAAAGTTAAAAAATATATAAAAATTAAAAAATAAAGTGCACTAGTGAACACAAAGTGACAAAAGTGACGAGTGAAAGTGACGAGTGCAGTATGAAAAAAAAGAAGAGAAGCTCAAACTGAGACAGCGGGAAAAGCAAAAACATCTTCACAGTAAATATCAAAGTAGCATGGATCTTTCTTATTGCAGCCCTATACCTTAAACCACTAGTGTCTCCTCCACACGGATGCACGGCAGCTGTCAAACTGCTGTTGAAGAATCATATTTTTTGGTGTGTTGTTAACTGAACTTTTATCAAACCCAACTGCGCAATCATTTCATTGTGGATTTGAGTCTAAACCCGAAGAGGAAACAAAAGTTTCATCTGTAGATGTTTTAAATACTTTAACAATACTGTATTCTAACATGTGCTAGTGAGTGTCCCTCATGTGTTTGCAACATGTATGTCTACTTAACATCTGTTGCGCAGGATATAAGTGGACGATATGTCGGCCTCGTGGTTGAGTGTCTGCTTTTTGTCAAACATGCGTGGATCCTTAAATTGGGAGTGTGGAAGAGTACAAGACACACACACACACACACACGTATGGGTTTACATTTGTAAAAAATGAAACACTAACTCCGAGACTGAGTGGTACTAAGACACATGTGACACAAGAACAAACCCCGCCCACCCAAAAAATAAAATCTTATTACGATCATTCAAAATTTATTCCAGGAGAAAGACAAACAAAACAAAAACAGTCGCTCTGGCCTGTGTTGTCATGTTACCTCTGATATGTGCACATGATTGTCGAAGGCATCTGATATACAAGCTCCATAAACAGAAAGTCATCACCAGCACAGTGAGTGCGGTGGGCAGCACCCGCTTTGAGAGATATGACGGAGGGTGCACAGGATGGGAGCTTGTCGTGGTCACATGCAGAGAGTAAATACAATACAGGCACCTAACTTCGTAGGTCAGCGGGACGAGGACGCCCACAGGGAGACATCGGGTCACATAAAAGCAGCTAGTATACGGTTTAAGTCCTACAAACAATTCTTCAGAGGCGGCACAGCTCTCATTAGCTGCCACTAATGCGCCACAGGGCAACATGTTTAGTCCACGAGAGACCAAGATAATGTTGGGACTCCTAAATCGTTTGAAATCAGTTCCCACGGATCAACAGTTTGCAACGGGTCATTGTCTATATACAGTATATATATAAATAAGCAAGCAACTTCTCTTGCGCCATGGTGAAATAAATATGTTAATCATTTTTAGTTGATTATTTTTATGATAAATCTGTGGATTCATGTATTCTGAGAATCTGCACGAGATTACTCTCATAATTACATATATGACATTGTAACTATATATGATATTGTAACTCGTGCTTCTTTTAAGAAATGCGAGGTTACAATGTTGATCATTTAATTTTTTGCCTTTGGAAATTGTTTGTAGAACCTAAAACTGTACTTCTGACTAAACAGCTTTTTGTGGACTCCAGACACCTTAACCTGTGCATGTCTTTACATAGTACAGAGATACTTACATCATACAAGGGCATATACACGGTTATGCAAATACACATGGTGAAGTTGATTTCTTGGTGCACTTTTTTTTTTTTCCATGTCATGCTTGCGTTTTCATCTTTAGTGACACCGTCAAACACTAAGAGCGCAAGCTCACAAAGGGTGGAAAGAGGCGGAGGAGAGCAGCTCGTAGCTGTGCCTCGTCCTTAACAGTGTGTTTCTGAGCAGGTCACAGCTTTGGATTTCTTTCTTTAGAATGGCAAAAAAACATAAGCCTGAGTTCAATAAACAATGCTTTCACGTTTAGTTGGGCAGACACTGACGTGGTGGTTCAACACTGATGGCATTGACCTGCACTGTGTAGCAGCATATATATGTGTGTATATATATATACACACACATATATATGTGACAGCAGATTGCAGAAGGGGAGGAAAGGGGATTTTAGCTTTTTTTTTTACATGAAACATTCCATAGAGAATACAATCAACTTCCCTCAACACAGCCACTCACTCACTCGTTCATTAACTCCCACATGCCCGAACAGCAAAACATTTGTAAATATTATCTTGAAAATAATCATTCATATTCACAATCTATTTACAGTGACATGTCAAACATGGAAAGATTCATTCAGAACCCTTTTTAATTTGAACAGCAGACATAAAACCACAGAGTAGCATGAACAGGAACCCTTCTGCCTGCCTCACAATACATTCATAAATCCAAACGCCCACCCGGAAGTGGACAACATCACATTTAATGATTCTCATAGTGTCAACTGACTAGTTGTTGACGTCTTTTGTGCCAGAGAAAAAAGTTTCAGGCTGCTTTACCAATATAGCTCGTTCGATAATGACGTTAATAAGATGAAATGGTCTAAGATCTGTCAGGGATTCAGTGTCTTGTACTTTTCCATTCCCCAAACCCTTTAATCTATACGCGTTGCCTGATCCCACTTCCAAGAAAAAACATCAACGCCACTTAAATATGTAAAAAAAAATGCATAGCAATCAACGGGGGATATAGACATGGATACAATGAATAATCAGATTAAGGAATAAAGCCCTTACATGGTTGAAAGGTTACAGATGATTACATGGATTGATTTAGTAGAGAGAAATGTAACGCAAGACCCCGCTGTAAAAACATCAAGGATTAATATATATTTCTGAGAGGTGAACGGTAGTGTAAGGAGACATGTGGGTGTTGTAAATATGTAGAAACACTAAAAAGTTCTCTTTCACTAATACTGCATATATAAAATGACAAAATAAATTAGGCTAACAGGTCTTTTCTTACACTACGCCCTACCAAAATAAGCAGATTTGAATGGCATTTGGTTCTGCCTCAGGTCAACTACATGGTGTGTGACTCGTTTTGTAAGATTTACGTCCTCGGTAGGAGTCTATGGGCTTGGGGCTGAAAGCTACAGATGGGGTAAGAAAGTTGTTGTGCATTGAGAGCAGGAGTAACACACCGCCCAGGACATACGACAAACTGTCTGGTAAGTTTTGATTTAGTCAACCTCATTGCCAAATAGGTACTTAATACTTAAACTTAATACTCGCAGCGTGCTGAAGGTGAATTCCAGAGAGCTGTTCATTTTGACCGTAATTTGACTTTCATCCAGCTGTGGTCTCACCCTCGCTGACATGTCGTACGGAGCAAAACAAGCTCTATGAATAATACGCAGATGCTTGTCGCCAGCACTCAGTGTAGATAATAAAAAGAAGGCAAATGGCAAAAGATCAGGAAGGAATTGAATGGGGAATAAATCCCCCTCCAGAATAATTTGCAGTGGGTGTTCAGCCCTTAGGTTTAGTCCACTTCACATCTGACTAGCTCTGTTCTAACTAATTCATTGAGTAGAATGAATCAAATTGTCTTGGTACCCAGCACTAGTCTTTGGCTACAATTCACAATAAAGGGATCAGAAGAATTGCATCTTGACAAACTGATATGTGAGAGTGAGCACTCAACGTTGTTAGGTAGGTGACACGATCCAAGCTACTGAAGTCATTTCCCACTCATCAAAGACTCAGCCTGTAAAATCAAACTTAGATTAGCAATACAAACAGGACGTTCAGTTTTTGTCTTCAAAAATCACGCTACTCTAATTTTGGTCTGGATAGCGGATAGAGGAGGGTTTGGGGGGGATAAAGGCGTGGATCATTGGACTGTACGGTCCCATTCTGTCAAGCACAAGGTTGCGGATTGAGTCGACAGGAGTCCTCTGTGGAGCCGTCCAGGTTTGAGTCCAAGTCGCTGTCTATCAAGTCACCACAACGTCAGCGCCGTATCATTAACTGGGATGCCACAACACCGGGACCATAAAACGACAAAACACTGAGGGAAACAAGCTAAACCGGGAAATCCATATCCACTAGCTCAGAGTGCAGCTGTAGTTTTCCCTGAGCACTTCTAAACTGGGTATAGCTTGACAATGCATAAACGGTGAGGTCATGGCTTCTTTAGAGCGGCAGCCGACGGCCTCTCCGTCTTGGATTCTGACTCCACGCAGGCGGATCTCTCTCCGAGGACCCGTGTGCGAAGTTATCTTACAGACGCTCGTAACGTGTGGTTTTCTTTAGTTGCGCCGCTTCCCGGTTTGGAAAATCAAAATGGCAAAATGATCTATCCTGAACCTGCTGCATGCGTCGTAGTATGTGTGTATTGTCTTGTTAAGTCTTGAAAAACCGATAGGAATCTTTCAGTCAATAAAGTTGCACGATGCTGCGGCTTGCATTCTGAGTCATTATAATTATAATAGTTTTATTTTTGATAGAGGTTTACAATCTCTACTCTCTGATTAACTTAAGTGGAAAGCGGCTAATCTGTGTCTGCGAACACATCGGACCCTCTGTGCAAAAATACATAAAGCGCTGACTCATGTTTCCACGTCTCAACAGTCGTATGGTTCTTTTAAAGCACTTCTTAAAGCACAAACAAACAGACAGACAAGCCCATGAGGGCATGTAAAGTGTCTTAAAGGTGCTATATGTAGCATTTTAACAAGGGTAACAGGAATTGTCACATCTTTTTGCTAGATTGGTCAAATCAGTGTAAAGAAATGATTGCTAAGGAGATCTCTTGTCTTGGCAGTGATCTCGTTTATGAACATTAAGTAGCAATATCAATTTGACAATGGTGTGTTCACCTCCTTTGACCTTATCAGTAATAATACAAAATAAAAAAGTCAGTCAAACCTAATTTGGAAAAAAAAGCTAAATAAATTGGCGCAGCAAAAGACCCGATTGGAGAAGGAAGTTGATGTTGACCGACACTGAATAATGTGACACCAACGGACCCTATCAGTTACTGCTCGAGCCTCACAAACGTCCCGGATCAGAGTCCGTGGCCGCGCGGCGTCCTGTCGGGGCGGCGGAAGGGCGTGCAGTGTGGCGCCGTGTGGCTCGGTTCGGTGGGGTGGAAGTAAAGTCCTCTGCTCTCACCGGAGCAGGGCGGGAAACTTGCTGGGCGGGCTCATTTAAGTGGAAACGTAGTGAGGAGAGCAAAGGAACGCAGAAGAAGAGGCGGGGGCGGAGCTTGGGTGGCGGATGCGGCCCTCTTCCTCTCCTGTCGTCCTCCCGTTTCTCTTCCGTCTCTCCGCCTCACAGTGCCGTTGCCTCCCAGCTGGTTTCCCGCGGGACCTGGCGTCACTTGGTCTCTGTGAGCACCGGGGCGGGAACTGCAGAGGGGTGCGTCCGGCTCAGCTCCGCCCCCGTGGCGGGAGAGGAGACCGCGGAGGCCAGACTGCAGGATGAGACCGACGCAGTTACACCTGAGAGTGAAGAGACGGCGGCCGGATCAGGGGCAATGTTTTCCTTTTTTTAAGCAACCTTCAACTAAGACAGCATACATAAAGTTAGCATGTTCGCTGGGTTAGCAGGTAGCCAAGCTACTTAGCCGGACACGCTAATGTTGGCAGCTCTAATTCTAATTTTGTGGTCCGCTCAACCTCAATTGTGTCGTCGTAGTGTAGCTTTAGAGTATTAGCGAATCTGTAACATTTGAAATATATAAGTGCCGCTGATGTGGCTGACTCACATTCCTTGCGCGGAGCTGCCGCGTTGTTGTCTGTCGAAGTGGTTTTGTTGGCGGCCGTGTTGGCGCTCTGGCCCTGCGCCGTCTGGCTTTGAGCCGGCTGGTTCTGGCCAGTCTGTCTCTGGCTCGGCGGGTTGGAGGCGTCCACGCTGCTCCCCATGCTGCTGCCGAGCTGCAGCCGCCTCATGTGGCGGACCACGGCGGTGGCATTGAACGCTTGCTGGAGAGAGGTGGGAAATGGGAAGGTGAGCTCTCACTTTGACCTCGGGGGGAGGTCGCTGTGCCGCCGATGTACTGTTTCATGAGTAGGAGGGGAACCATAGGAAAGATTTCATTTAAAAAAAGGCTTTGAAGACCAAGCTTTCCATGAAGTGACGCCAGCAAAATAAAACATCTTCCATTAAAAACATTGGAGGTTCAGGTCATCTTACGCTAGCTTTTAACAAGCAGAGCTGTAAATGTCACACTGCCTGAGGAGCAGCTCTTAAAGAAAGCAGCGATTTGGTGTGCACATTACTTTCTGGAAGAAAAAGGTGGATGAGATGATGATGGTTGACTCCTTAACGTGTGTCGGGCCAAACTTACTACAGAGGGATTCATCTTCTACAAAACAAAGACAAACTTTGGAGGAGCCGTACCGAAGCAACGAGAAGAGACCACAGAAAACTCGACTCACCCTCCATTTGCTCTTGGCAAAGTTCTTTCTGATCTGTCGGCTGACTGACTCGTGGATGTTCTTGCACAGTGCTGTATCACCGGCAATCCTAGTACACACACACACACACACACACACACACACACACACATTCTCTGTTAACAGTTGTGACCATACAGTGTCCGACAGCCCAAGTGAGAGTCATTCCTCACCAGGGGTGTCTGAGCGCTTGATCGCAGGTGAACCTCTTGGCAGGATCCTTTTCCATCAAACTGCCGATGAAGTCCTTGGCTGAATGAAACACAGGGGCCACGAAAAGTCAAAACTTGCCACACACAAGAACTGCACAGGCTTTAAACAGCCTTTTAGAATAATTCTTTGTGCAATCTGCTTTAACACAGTGTGTAGTTTGCACGTGGTTTTGTAGGTGACTGATTACCAAATACATTTATTCCAGGGTGATGATGTCAGAGGTAAATATGTATGTGTGACGAGGAAGGAGGAGCAGGAGGAGGAGGAGGAGGAGGGGGGGCTCACCTGAGTCCGATATGTCGTCCCAATACGGCGTGTCAAACTCGTAGTCGGCTTTCAGGATCTGTTCAAACAGCTTGGAGTCGTTCTCGTCGTAGAACGGAGGGTAACCACACAGCCTGCAGACGAGACGTTACTTACTGACTCGTGTATCGGGTTATTCACTCAGTCACAGAGGGATTTGTTAACTCACTCTGTCATTTCATGCGGCGCAAAACAAAACAACCACTGATTATTTTTATGTTTTTACTCAATAAATTAATAATAATAAATAAATTATAAATTCAATAAATTATTCAGGCATTCACAGTTATTAAGCCATTCATTAGGATCTCAGGAATGACGAGGCAGAATTTTGTAAGATATTAATTAGTTAAATTAAATAGTTTGTTCATTGTTGTTATACTAAACAGCACACATGTGCCGTGATTTATCTCGATATCGGGTTACTTGTGTGAGCTCATTGCGGTGTCCTTCCAGTCCCAGGCTCACAGCGGTGGTTTTATTGGTAGTCCTGGCAATAGTTGGCGGTATCACCTTAATGGGGTCAACGTGAGAATACTGGTTCCCAGTGTTTACTGAGGCTCCAGTCTGAGTCCCTGAAACGAACCGCCTGAGCCGACGGGGGAGCTGCTGCTCAACCCCAAAAACACCATCCGCACCTCATTACTGAAGTTCTGGACGCCCCAAGAGATTTTGATAAAAACTCATTAAAATGCCGTTCCCCGCCGATACACAATAACCCCCCCCCCACACACACACACACACGCACACACACGCACGCACACACACACACACACACACACACACACTCAAAGAGGAAAATAAAAGCACACCATGAGTTTCTCATTTGGTTTTAGACTCATGTGTCACTCAGCTAAGCCTCCACATTATAACACACACACACACACACACACACACACACACACACACACACACACACACACACACACACACAGCAGGAACAAACTAGGTTTCGCCTGGTGTGGAGGGATGCTGCTTTCACATTCGGTTGGAGACTTAGCCTCTGCTCACCGTCCATCCCACTGAACACGTGCGCGCACGCACACTCATACGCACACAAACATACACAAGCACGCACCTGAACACACTCCCAGGTGATTATCATGGCTGATTACCTGATGAGATCTTTCCACCTGAGCAGCATCTAAAAGCTAACAAGGTCTGAATCCCAACGCTAATTGTGCTAATTGTCAGCGGGGAGCCGCTCTAACTCTCTCCCTACCTCTCACACACACAGACACACATACACACACAGACACACACACACACACACACACTATTCCAATGAGAATGCAGCTGCACCAAAAACGGTATGATCTTATAAGACATATAAAGACACACACAGTCACACACTGTGTATACGTGTATATAATAGACACATCACAGACCTCTTAGACACACAACAGTCAGCGCATGCTGTCCTTTTGCCACTTCTCACACACCGTATCCCGTTTACCTGCTGCTGACCTCTGACCCTTGACATCTGATCTAACCTAATGCTCAAGCTACAGTAATAATGTCTTTTCTCGGTGGAGCAAGCAAGCAAGCATACACACACACACACACACGTGCGAGTGTGTGTGTTGGTGTTGTGAGGTCGGAATGACGCGGGAGAAGAAAAACAAAAAGCCGGGAATGACAAATTTAGACTCCCATGTTCATACAAGGCCCAGACGTCAGGAAGCGGAACGACACCAAAACACACACGCACAGGGTAACATTAACAAATACCCACGCACACACACACATGTGGGACAGAGACAAGTCAGCTTCAGAACACAGTAGAGTCACACGACCTTTAAGGGCCAGGTAAGGTTCTGTTCACGCGTTTGCTCATACTGGCATTGTTAGCTGGTGCACCACAAATAAATGCCAGCTAACTTGATGAAAGGAATGTGGTGGGTGTTAAACATCAAAACTCTGCCGGTGGTCGTGTGTGTGTACAAGCTTAGCAGAGTCATTCTGTGTCATCGGAATCTCGGAATGTTATCTGATATTTGGGATGTTACCGATTCCTACGCAGAGAAAAAGATGTCTAAACAGAATTGTTTAACTAATTTGATGCATACAGATACCTTGATATTTTAATTACGTATACAGTACGGTTAAGTAGAATACAAAAATAAAAACGGATTTAATTTGTGTACACAAATTAACATGGCTGGATCTCTCACAAACAAAACTGGAGCAGTGAGTACAAATTAATTTGTGGCAACACCTGTGCTTCTCCTACTATGACAAGTCAATAAGACAAATGGATACTATACTATTTATTTCTCATAGCTTACAGGTGCAAAAATGTTACAATAGTTCAGAATGTGCATCATTTATCCAAATACTAAAGACTCACTCATCCCAGTGAGTCAAATGAGCGGAGTCTTGCGGCAAAAAAAAAGTGCAAAAGAACTCTGATGTGTTCAGCCAGCTCGATATTCTGACATAAGGTGTCAACGTGGCTCCCGGCGAGAAGCTAGTGCAAACTGTGAATCTCACAGCAGCTGGGAGTGTGCGCTGACGGTCGGGCCGCTTGGCTGCGCAGCAGGATCTGACCTTAAAGGAGACCATCTGGTACTTACAGTATATAGGCGATCACGCCAATGGACCAGCAGTCCACCGCCTTGCTGTACGGCTTCTGGGCTAGGACCTCCGGAGCTGAAAGGGAAAGGAAAAAATAAGTAATTGGTTACTTGTTTTTGCTACAAATGTGGCTCCATTTTGCAGCAGCATGGGTTTTGTTTCACTCAGCTGAAATCCAAAATGTCTTTTCAGCAAGTTGAGGGTCCAGATAAAACTCTGGTGCGATCATTAGGTGAAAATATGGCTCCTTCAGGAGCCTGAATAAAGAGAAAATATGCAGACTCTCCTTGTCTGTCCAAGTTGATCACGTGTCAGGTTTGGATAACGGTGGAATGTCCTCCGCGGGAGGTAAGTGTTTTCACGCCAAGCGACACAAAAGTAGACCCCCGGAATATACAAATTTCACCAACTTCGTCATGATTCTAAATAGATTCGTCACACAGACATGGCAAGATATGAAGAAATGCCGAAACAGACACTTCGCACACTGAATCAGAGCCTTGTTTATAGACCTAAACGGGGTCATTGCGAAAGCGTGTGTGTCTGTGTTGTTTTGCTGGACCTGCTGCATAAAGATCATGTTTACACACTGAGGTCATTGTGCCTTGAGCTCACTGCTTAAGAAAGATGAAGAGTTTATGGTCAAATATGTTGTAAATGACTAAAACATGGTAGCACATGTGTACCTCCACTCTCATTGCTTAGAACACCTGCACGGTGCGTCCCCCACATCACCCATAAAACATCATCATCTTTGGACTGTTTTGGTCGCTCTTCTGCTGTTACCAAGCAAAGCTGTTTTGGTGTGTTCGTTGCTTTTTAAATCCAAGAGGACTTATTTGGAATCACCAGCCTGAAGCTGCTTCCCAGTTAGAGCTATCAAGCCGCCAGGAATGTGACCCACAGGCGCTTAAGTTAACTCTGCCATGTACCTTGTATATTTTGTGTTATGTTAAGTGGAATATATATATATATAAGTGGAATATATATATATATATGTATATATATATATATATATGTATATATATATATATATATATATATATATATATATATATATATATATATACACTTTCATTTACGAATCAGTTTTTATTTATTTCTTTAATTTATACAACAATCCTGTTGTGAGGGGTCAGGACTTCGACTCAGGTGCAGAGCAATAAGGCAACAAAAACTTCTTTCCAGGTTTGGAATCTTTTAACAAAAGGGTGCACAGGCAAAGGAGGAATACACACGCTCTTGTAGAAACAAAAAAGGAAGAGGGCCTGGAAACGAAGTAAAAACAAGATAACCAAAAACAGCACTGGGAATTTCTGACTACTAACATGCACCTCTGGGAAAGACAAAAGATAACCTGACACAGACAAGTGGGGGGGAACTGAGGCTTAAATACAGGTGGAGGTGATTGCAAATTAAACTCAGCTGTGGGGAGAAACGAAGGGTGAGAAACTAGATACAGGAAGTGCAGTGGTTACAAAAATAAAAACAGGAAGATAATCTTCACTGTCTCGTCGAGTCGTCACACCTGTACTTTTTTTTTTGTCTTCCTTGTGTTCTGTTTAACATGACCCTACTATATAAAGAGGAGAGTGGTTAAACATTTTACATTCTTAATAACATCAACTAGTTTATCATTAAATGCACACTAAGCATGAGCTGTATTCCAGGAAGCTCCAAATTCATGACATCCCGTCATCCAACAAATTCATCTCACACTTTCTCCACATTCTGTCAACCTACTGCTCATGATGTAGCATGTTATTATGATAAGTTCATTTATGGTTCATGGTGACATGTTCAGAAATGCTCAAAGCATTTGTTAGCATCTCGAAATAGATTTGTGTTGGAGAACTTTAGGAAGAACACTGTCATTGGAATTTATTCAGATCTGGTTTTAATTTGTGGCCTTCAAAGGGTTATTTATTGTTTAGACACAGTTAGACACAAATTGTCTGGTAGAAATGCCCCGGGGCCAAACAGGCCTCTGCGGGAGGATGACACAAGGATTTCATCATTTAAAGTCAAAGTGTATGTGTCACCCGCAGATGCTCAGAAAAAAAAATCTGTCTCGTATAACACACACACACACACACACACACACACACACACACACACACACACACACACACACATATATATATACATATATATATATATATATATACATATATATATATACATATATACATATATATACATATATATATATATACATATATATATATACATAACATACATACATATAAATATATATACATATGCATTAAAGAATTTACATTTGCCTGAGCCCCTTTCCCCCTTTTAAAAACGGCTAAATAGCCTCTTCATCTAATAATAGCTGAGATTCATGTCTCTCACTCAATGGATGTCAGCCATTGTACTCTTTTGCTTATTCATTGAATCGTAGTTTGACCCTCATGTGCGTTTCCATATCTGCAGTTCTCTGAGCTATCACAGGACCCACTGTGAGAATGTGATTTTTATTGACAGAATATGAACAGAGCTACCCTCTACTGTCTACATGAAATGTTCACTCAGAAATTGAAGATATCTAAAATTGGTTTGGTTGTCCCTAACAAAAGTAATAACATTTGTATTCAGGAAACATTCATTAGAAACACATTTAAAATTCTTTACAAATGGGTGTTGCTATGCCATTCAGTAATGCTCCGATACGTGTATTGCTTTTTTTAACTGCATGATGAGAAAATTGTAATCCTTTCAGGTGGTTTTTAGAGTATAATTACAATGACATGCTCTTCTAATTTATAATGATTTATAATGTATTTTGCTATTTTTTCATTAATTAAATTTTTTTATGTAATACTTTGAGTCACACGTGTGTTATTTTTCTTTTTTTTAAATAAATTTTTTATAGCAAATTAATTCAACCAGGATTTTAAAATGTGACATTACCTCCTAAGTTTCGTAATGAAGAGAGCTAAAAACTTTGGACCCATAATGACTCGTCTTAGTTTAAAATTATTTAAAGTTTGGGATGAAGGTCACATGGTTTCTACTGCAAATTGTTGTTCATTAAAGAAGCAGCTCCGGTTGTTAACGTAAAACACCGTTTAGAACTTCTTCGGCTTCAGTTTATTTTAAGTCCCGACTTAAAAGTACCACGTCTTCCTTTTTTATCACCATCACGTCCCTCAATTGTGAACTGAGAGCCAATAAAGTAGAACATTTGATGCTCTCATTGACACGTTTTTAACATAAAAATGACATCAGCGCTATCAGTATTTACTCACTCATAAAAAAAATCCACTAAAAATCCACACTGCACACGCAGAGAAAAAGGTTCTTAAATGGTTCTTTAGAAGACAGTGTGGTTCTACAAAAAACATTTTATGAATTTGAAGGTTCTACATGCGTTGCATATTGACTTTGCAATATTAAATGGTTCTTTGAGATATTGAAAGCCTCTTAATTCATGTTTGAGTTGTATAGTTGGGGGATGGGAAAAAACACCTCTATGCCATGATGTGTGTTTGCTAGTTAGCTGCCAGCTGCCAGTTGACACACACACACACACACACACACACACACATACACACAGGAAACATGGCTGGTGTCAGATGGAAACAACATGCGCTCGGAATTTGTCATGCGTGTGTTGTTGGATCAATGCCTGCAGAGATCAAAGGAGACAGCTCAGTTTCTATATACACTTACATGGTCGCGGCATAATGACAAATAGAGACGCGTGGCAGCTATGACCTCCATCGCCAAACCACGACTCGGATAAGGACCCAGAAGCTCTAAACCCCTCCTCCGAAAAACGGTCGCCATATCACAGCTTAGCGACAGTAACTAGGCTGAAGTTGTGGATTGGATGTGGAAAAACTTGATTCAAACAGCAAAATACACGCGGAGAAGAGGATTGAACTGTGGGAGCTTAAGTTAGCTTAATTGGCTAGCAAGCTAGCTACTTACAGTAAAATCTGTCATTTTGGTCGGCTAAACCGGATTTTGTCAACATCTGTCTTAAAATCAAGGAGCTGTTTCAAAATTGACCAAGAGTTTTGAGTGGTAACAAAAGATCAAATTGTTTATTAGCTCTTCATAAAGTTGCCTGGGTAAAGAAACATGAGGAACGACTACAGACTGTTGGAGGCCAACTCACCCACATATCCTGGCGTGCCGCATGCGGTGGACATGACGTCGCCACTGCCCTCCATCTTGGAGAGGCCAAAGTCGCTGATCATGATCTTGGACTCGTCCTGGGGATTGAAATAGAGCAAGTTCTCTGGCTGGGGAAGGGGAAGGGAGGGAGAAAGAGAGAGAGATAGAGGGCGAATCAATGGGCTTCTATTTTCTTATTAAAGCCATGGTTATTTGGTCAGACGCGGCCTGTTTTGTGGACAAACCGCTGGTGTGATGTAAAACACAGGGCCTGTGTGTATGTGTGTGTCTTACCTTCAGGTCTCGGTGGACGATGCCCATCTTGTGCAGGTAGTTCACAGCATCCAGGACTTGTCGGATCAGCGTGCTCGCGTCTTTCTCTGTGTAGAAACCTTTTTCCACGATTCGGTCGAACAGCTCGCCACCGGAAACCCTGAGGAGTGCCAAGACAATTATGTATGTATGTCAGTGTGTGTTGCTGGATCAAGATTTCTGATCATTTATGAACTGTGTATAAGTTCTGAGCCATGTGCTGCACGCACGCACGCACGCACACACACGCAAAGTCCTCAGACACCCTGCAGTGTTTAGCTTACCTTGTAACATATAGCAAAATAGCAATAGCAATATTATATGCTATGGTATTGATTCTCAAAAACACAGTTCTGGTATTGAATCTCAGTATTTGGGCCCAGAAATGCAGATACAATGGTTTTGGAATTGCATGAGAAAGTAAACTATAACTGGAATGGAAGACATCAATGCTAGTACAAGAAAAAAGTTAGATTTGACCCCAAAAAACAAAAAAGAAACATTTCAACGTTCATCCCCTCTGGCTGATTCTTCCAAAAATGTTTTATGACTTCGGACCACATGAAATTACTTGTTCAGAGATGGGGCTCATTATCTGCTGTACAGGCGCATAGCTCCCCCTGCCGGGGGATAAGCTCCTGCTTCACCTCTCTCATCTAATCTAAATATTGGGATGTTAATCCAACAATTTTCCGGACAAAATGCAGAAAAAGTGCAGACGTAAATCAGCATCACAGTAGCAGTGTTTGTAATATTATTAGTAGTTATAATAACAGCAGTAGAACTCAACCAACCTTGTAGTATTCTCTTCATACTGCATACAACTGTGAAGGCATATTGCACTAATATACACCAGTGGCCCCAAATGTGCTCATACAACACTACAGACACACAAGAGTGCATGAAGGCGAACGCCTGCACAGTTGCACGGGGTTTCTGTGAGAAATTGTCACGGCGACAGATCAGATTAAAGCCTGTGGAAGTTAAACTCTAATGAAGTCTCTGAAAAAAAAAAGATTGGAATTAATTGCTAAGCCTCAATCTTCAAAGAGGGCAGCGACATGTTCGGTTTCAGAGGCAGTCATTTCTGGGAATGACAGCTAAGGGCTGGACACACACACACACACACACACACACACACACACAGACAGACAAACAAACAAACACACACCATGCAAAAGGAGAGATTAGCCACCAGGCTGCATCGTTGCATAAGCGTTTGCGTAAGGAGACTATGGCAATCAGACAGGAGCACCCACACAAGAGCACACAGATGCGAGAGCAGGACCACACGCAAACACACACACACACACACACACACACACACACACAAAAGCAAGCGCATACACAAGGAGACAAGTGTGACGAAAATACAGATATGACGTACAAGTTAAACACTTACAACTACCCAAATTATTACAAAAACCCTGTTGACGAGTCCGACCATCAAACTTCTGATGAGCTTTGGTAATTTTGTAGTTCATCAGAGCAGAAACATCTACACACGTACCTGCAAAGCCGTAAAGGGTGAAAAAGGTAACAACAGGGTTTGTATGTCCAATGGGAAATAAACGCGTCTACATTTTAAGCCATCGGGTTCTGGGGAGTCGTCCCTGTTTCCAGCTGCCGATGTATTTTCTTTCCAGGATTAACTCTCTCAACTCTCTCATTCTCCCCCCACCATCCCTACATCCATCTCTCCTTCATCTGTTTAGAGGTATGTGGCTGCATCACGTCTGACAGGCGGCCTTATTTTCAGGTGTGTCTGTGTGTGTGTGTGTGTGTGTGTGTGTGTGTGTGAGAGAGAGAGAGAGAGATTCATGCTGTGCTTCGTGTCATTACAGTCTCGGACTAACTGACTAACTGATCATATTTTCATTCTTGCTTCAAAGGCCCTCCTGGCTTTGTTTTTCTTAGATCCAGTTCATGTTTGGTCACATGAGCATCCATCACACAATAACTTGCATTAAAAAACAAATATAAAGAACAAACCTTTCCCTAATATTGCAAAAAGTCTAAAATCCTTAATTTGGACGAAAGGAAATTTGGAAAATGACATGACGGTTTAATTGTTTTGTTATGGTGTAATTTCAGAATTGCTATATGACAATGTTGAATCATTTAATTATTTTAATTAAATGCAGGAAAAAAAGAACATAACTTAAAAATATACTCTAAGAATCAAATATTATACCACAAGCATCATGCATATTTTTGCAACCTTCCTCAGGTAACCTCTCTGCTCAAGTTCAAATATGCCACTTTCAATACTGCATTTGCTTTCACATTCTGGCTGGTATGCCATTCATATCAATAAAAAGCCTGGGTCGCATCGATTTCCCTCCCCGGGGTGGAGGTTACGTAAGATTCGATGAACTGGAGTGAAGGAAGCGCTGTCGGACAGCATCGATCCGTCACGTCATAGTTACACAGAAAATCCATGTTTCTAAACGAGATTCATGGGTGCTGAAGCCCCCTTGGTGAATGAACATTATCCTACTTTATTATGGTGGTGATTGGTCTGGAAAAGCCTTGCTTTTGCAGATTGCTTCCACCGGCTCCACCGATCCATCTGAGTACAGTGACGGAGTGGCTGTGTGCAGCATAAGGAAGAACAGCCTGCCGTGCTGAGGCCAGATCAAATGGGAAGCTGAACTGCTCTCTGCTTTCTGCTCTCACGCTGTTACACCAAGCAATCTATATTTAAACATAGTTAAAGCACGCCTCCCTCCAAAGCTCTGTGTGAACATTAGACAATGCAGAATTGTATAAGAGCACAATGAAAATATCAATAAAATAGAACAAAAAGTGGCACATAAGAAGTGGGACTAATATATTTTTACAGTGACGAGGGCTTAAAATCAGCAAAAAAAGAAAAATCACACAAAACGGCTTTTCAGAACTGCACAACTAACCTCTAATGCCACCTGCTGCCATTCGCAAGGTCCCAACTAAATGCTATGAAGCAGGTGTTAACTTTGACCTCTAAACTATGGCAACTGACCCATATTCTATTAATAGATGGAACCTGGGGGAAAAAAAAGCTCAGGAAAAACGTTTAGGAAAAATAAATGAGCAAGTGAAAGACCAGAGAGCATGTAAATTAGGTTGGAGAGGAGAGGAAAGGAAGTAATGAAGGAGGGAGGGAGCAGAGAGCAGGTGAGGAGAGAAAAGACACAGGGATGGGGGGAGGTCGACAGGGGGATGGAGGAGCGGAGGCATCAGGTTGAACGCTCAGAGCCCCCTGAGATGACGTCTTTGTTGAAGTCTGAAGGCCTGTGCTATTCTGTGCAAAAGAAAGAGGTACATCTACTTTATAGCTGCCCATAAAACAGAAAGTCATACCTCTGTAAAGCTTCCACTCAAAGTCAAGATATACTAGTTGTTAAATCTAGAAACAGGAACTAATCCTCCGCTTCGATCAGTGTAACAAAGTAAACCTGACTAACAGGTGTTGGCCCCCGGGCAGAACACACGGGTGCTGTTAATTGGTTTACTCGTGAAAACGGAAAACTCTGCTAAAGGTTAACGATATTGGAGGTAGAAGGCTTCGTCGGAGTAAATCCTTCATTTGCAGTCTCTAAGAAGAATTGAAAATAGAGATGGAGAATATAAAATCATGTTTAAAATGTTTACAGATGAAATGAACCGAGAGAGAAGTAGAATAATATTCATATAGACTTATGACCATTACATCAGATTTATTTTTGCAACCAGAGGTGTCGCCCCTGATGGTCAGTAGTGAGAATGCAAGATTTAAGACACTTTCTGCACTTTCTCTGCACTTTCTCACTCAGCAGAAGGAGCCGCCTGGCTGTACGGTGAGAATCTTTCCTGGTCTTGAGTAGAAGGGTGATGTACTTGTTTGTTACTCCATAAATTTGACAAAATGTCAAATTCTTAGGCAATACTCTTCAACTTTGCTCAATTCAAAACATACTTTCTTTCTGTTCCAGCCTTTATTTTGTCTGGTATGAGCAGTAGCGTATGGTCACTAACCAAAGCTAATGTTACACAGATAATTTTGTATAATTCGTATATAGGTCTGACAACTATGTCCCAGTAACTTATATAGGAGCCACATCCCATCAACCTATTACTTAGAATGATACGAGCTCCCAGCTACACCAGAACAACCTCCTAAACGTTACGTCTCTGTCTCTGACACTCTCCCTCTAAACATTAACATATTTGCCAGTTTTCCCCCGCAAATGTTACTATTATATTTGTGAGTAATCGTAAGCCTTTGTAGCCTCTGGCTAGTCTTTTTTTCAAAGATATAACGCACTAGTTTCTGTAAAGCTTTGGTACATTTGAATCTTCCAGATCTAAAGAATATCCAGGCTAAATTCTGCAAGTAAAAAAATCCCCCAAGTTTAATTGTTATTGATTGTAACACACAGCTGATACATGGACTCAAGAACTAGAGCACAAACAATCAAATAAACCAGTTCAGCCGCAAAGAAAACTAATAAGGGAATGGATCTCATTTTTGATGTTTTTCAGAACTAATATATATATATATATATATATTGGTAAAACCCAACATTTTTATAGTTTTGATTCACAGAACAACATGTATACACTTATATCAGCATCTACTCAACATGTTCTTCTGTGAATCTATAAACTATAAAAACTATAAAAATGTTGTGTTTTACCAGTGAAAAGATACTCTAGCTTGCTGTATTTAACCGGGGCTAACGGCAAAGAGAAAACGCCGGGTTGCAATTGTAAAGCCTCACTTGTGTAATTGCACCTTGATCAAAATGTTTCCAGTACAAGAGACAAACAGGCCGACCAACTTCGCCTCTTATGTAAGCAGTAACCTTGCAGAGGAGGGTTAGTAGGGCACCCTTAGGTGAACCACATACACCGTGCTGCAACCTTCGTGTTTATGAGTGTGTGTGTGTGTGTGTGTGTGTGTGTGTGTGTGTGTGTGTGTGTGTGTGTGTGTGTGTGTGTGTGTGTGTGCGTGTGTGTGCGGGAGGACGGGAGGTCTGTTTGTGCGTGTGTCTGAGATGTTGTCGTCTTAGTAGAGCTGTCATTGAAGTGAAGAGTGAGTGCGTGTATGTGTGTGTGTGTGTGTATGTGTGTATGTTTTTATAAATTGTAAATGTATTTATGAATGACATATCAGCATGCATAAAGGGTTTTATTTGAATTTTTAGATTTTTGGATTTTTTTAAATATTAAAATGCCTCCAGTATTTTTGGATTTTTTATGTGCGTCCTCAATACACTAAGTTTACGCATGGATCTGATTGAATGATCTCCCAGGACATGTGGATCATTTCGAGGCCTGTTTCCTCATCATCAATATTGATCAACGCTCACAAAGGCTCAAGTAGGAGAGCAAACAAACTAAACAAAAATCAATCAAAAATCATGTACACTCACAGCTGCATGATCAGGTAGAGGTGATCAGGACTCTCGTGGATGTCCTCCAGTGCCACAATGTTCTCGTGCTTGATCCTGCAAAGCAAAGACAGACCATCAGTGTCACATTTCAAAGTTGCAGCAGGTCTTACGTCACACTATAAGCCACCAAAACAGCTAAACTCCAATGGGGTTTTTACCTCCAGATACTGTCAGTATCCAGATTCCTTAAGGAGTTTTTGATCACATTATTATTACCTTCATCTGTGGATATTTAGCCCAGTTGCCACGTAAATAAAGATTTCCATGTTATTCATTTTTCCCAAACATTACCCATCGATGAAGATCATGTCAGATATGAATGAAAGCTCCAGATCAGCTACTAAAGGGACCTTGAGGCAAGATTGTTGTTTCTGGAGGCTAGTTGGCATCTGAAGAAGTCCATTACCGGGTTTAAAAATCACAGATGACTAAGTATGCTGTGACATTGAGCATGTTCTGCAATCCCGCTGCATAGTATGTGGACGTTAGTATCAGTTGAAAGTGAAACTGTGTGTAAATGGGATTGTAATGTTTTTGCAATTCGAACGATGCCGAAGCCGAGGATGAACCTTTGCACTAAAACGTCATCCCACCAAAAATTCTTCAGGGAACAGACGACTTTCCGATCACAGAGGGCCATTGTGCCACAAAACCATTTTCATCTTCTCCTCACCTCTCTGCTCTATTCTGTCATTTCTTTGCTGGTTTCTCCATGGTTACGGCTCTTGGAAGAGGGTGTTTCCACCCTTCTATTTGTGTGTCTGTGTGTGTGTAGGTGTACATTCGTTATTCTAACACCTCATGACTTGTAGAAACACAATTGATTTTGTGTGTGGGTGTGTGGGTTAATCATCTTTTGCATTGTGAACAAAGGTAATTCCCCCTAGCCTACATCTCTCTCTCTCACACACGCAGACACACACACACACACACACACACACACACACACACACACACACACACACACACACACACACACACAGTAATGCACAGCAGGTGTGCATCTAACACTTATTATGGAGCGTGCAACCTTTGTGACGGCAGGCTGCCGATGATCTGTGGTATTGAGACGGGACTCATACACACAGACACAGGCGAGCAGGTTGAAAAGGGAGAATGTGTGTTTTGTGTGTGTGTATTGACTCTCTGCCTGAGATAATGAAGAGAGTGTAATGGCAGAGGAGAGACAGGGTGCTTTGTGAAGAACGCTTTTGTACATTACTGGTTTGATGCTACTGCCAGTTGTTCTCATTCATGGATTTGTCCTGCGTGTGTCCTTCTGCACAGATGTCATGTGAGGCGCTGCTTTTTCGTTTCTAATGTAGCATAGAACAAAGCTCAGAGGTCAGCTGAAACAATTGATTTGTTATTTAGTAATTGAGTAATATATCTATTTTATATGATACATTAGTATGCAAATTACAAATTACAATATACAATGTAAAGACAGCGAGAAGAAAGGCGTTGAGTGTCAACATTCTTTAAATGCTGCTTTTCTGTTTTGCATGCGTGTACTATCTTGATTTGGTGAAAACACAAAGAAACCCTGACCGGTGTAAAGTCGTCAGCTTTCTTTCCAGAGTCGAACCTGCGTCGCACGATGCGAACGGGCCGGTGGGGGCGGCCAGCGGGATCACTTAGGCTCTCATGTGTTTGAAGTAATGACACTCATTTGTCTCGACGAACGTCCACATCTCTCTCCTTTATTACTGGAGGCAATTTTCATTTTCTCTAATGTTGCACAGAGCGGCTGAATGAACACATTTATTATATCTATTAGAATAACACATCTGTATTGTCACAGCGCACAGAGGCCCAGAAGCTTGACATTTCTGCGGTCACATGTGCATGCGTGAAAGGGAAATAAGACATTTTTATTTATTCCTCTTGGAGGGATAAGCTTTGCCTTCCTTGCATGTTAGTAGCTGTCACGGCGGTTATTATACAGTGCACTATACCCGATGGCTTGAAGTGTGAACATCTAAATATAACCCCTTTTAATGTGTGTCGTTGTCTGTGATGCTAAATGTTTTTGATCATGATGCATTTCCTCTACACTGATTGAAACTCCAAACACGGCACTCAAGTTCCTCTGTTCGACGTGGTGCGACCGTTTGGTGCTCCGACAGACGGGCGCTTCAGCCGTGGTGTGAACATGTGCGGTAGATGGGCTACGAATCGTGACCCGAAGCCGGAGGGGTAGTGATGCGCGAAGGGGAGAGAGGGGCTGCACAGTTGCCCCGACAACCAGCGCTTTGAGCAGGCTTTGCGTTTGTGTGTTTTGTCTGACGGCGCTCACCTCCTCAGCACGGCGATCTCGTTCTCGATGCTGCTCTCCTTCCCCTTCAGGGCCTTCTTGGGGATGCACTTCACCGCAAACATCCGGCCGGTCAGCTTCTCCTGGGCCAAGACTACCTCGGAGAATGCTCCTCTGGGGACACATTCAAACAGAGGCATATCATTTATGCTGGTTTTAATTTTAAATAGGTTTGGACGATACATCATCGACACAAAAAACATAACAAACTCAATGTATTAGAGGTCGAGCTGACCAAACGAGTGGGGTCAGTAACTTTAAACCCGAGCATTTTATTCGCATATCTCCAACCTCATTTTCAGTGACATTTGCTTTTGCCGGATTAAACCGAGCGAACAAATGAGGGAAGAAAATGCCAAAATAAAGATTGGAATGATTCAGTTATTTTCCCTTTGAGATGTCATTGACAGCAGATTCAGGTATCTGATCGTCACATGCAGAAAATTACACCGCCACGGTGAGGGAATTGGCTTTGCCAACTGTAACATTAGCAATTATTTTTACTCATTCATTGTTACGGTGGAAAAATGATTTATAATTTTCGGCTTCTCGCATCATAAAAATGGATGCTCCTCAATCACAATCATCCTGACAATAAGAGGCGAAACGTCTCTTGGTTCTTGTATGATGGTGTGTGTATGTTTGTATGTGTGGGTGTGTGACAGGCAGGGCGACAAATGAAGATGAGCCTATTGAGAGGTAATCGGTCCATGTTGACTCCTGAGACGATCTGCCCTCAGCTTTACCGACATTGTGTTATTGCAAAACAAACGTCTTGACATAAAAATACAATATGTTTGCAATACGAGCATCAAATCTAATGGCAACGAGTCCTTTTTTAGTGGTAGCAGGTGACATGAAGCTATATCTGTGAAGCATCAACCAATCATAAGTATTTGGCCTCAACATTACCAGCTCCTTCTTCTCACCGTCCACTGTCCTGCTTCATATAAATCGGGGGTCTCCAACCACCAAACTCTTCCAATTACATGCACTTGTCCCTCTTGACACACCTTCAAAAAATTTTGGGGATGAACTTTTTTATAGCCATTTTCAAGAGCCATTTAATACATAACAACATAACTCAAGTCAAGAGATCTTTTGAAACCAAACAATGTAGCAGGCTAGTGTGAGCATAAAATGATGATATTCCGCTCAAATGCACTTTGTATCCTTCTTTCTATCCTCTTTCTCGGAAGGAGGCAAGAGTTAACCCACCCTCAACCCATCTGAAGAAAACAACTACAGACCGGTCTCTCTTCTTCCCTTTTTGTCCAAAACTCTTGCTATCTTTAACCAACTCTCCTCCTATCTCCACCATAACAACCTCCTTGACACCCACCATCTTCAAGGCAGGCAGTTCCATAGAGACTGTTCTCCTCGCTGTCTCAGACTCCACACTGCTAACGCCGCCTCTCTCTCATCTGTCCTTTCTGCTGCATGGGGTCGTCGTGGCGCAGGGGGTAGAGCGGGTGCGCCAGGAACCGCAAGATTGGTGGTTTGAGTCCCGGCTGCCCCATGTCTCAAGTCGAAGTGTCCCTGAGCAAGACACCTAACCACTAATTGCTCCCCGGGCAAAATGTAAAAAAGCCATGGGTTAATAATGTAATGTAAGTCGCTTTGGATAAAGGCGTCTGCTAAATGACCTGTAATGTAATTTGACACAGTCAACCACCAGATCCTTATCTCCTCCCTTCAGGAACTCGGTGTCTCAGCTGCTCTCTCTGCTCTCTCCCTTCTCTCGTCCTACCTCGACGGCCGCACCTACCGGGTAACCTGGCCAGGATCTGTGTCGGAACCTTGTCCTCTTACTACTGGAGTTCCTCAGACTCAGTGGATGTCCGCTCAACATCTGAAAATCAACCTCGACAAGACTGAACTACTTCTCCTTCCGGGAAAAGGTTCTCCTACACAGGACCTGACTGTTAACGCCCAGTTTGACTGCTCGGAACCTCGGCGTGACACTCGACAGCCAACTCTCCCTGACTCCCAACATTACTGCAACAACACGATCCTGTAGATACATGCTCTACAACATCAGGAAAATATGTCCCCTTCTCACTCAGAAGGCAGCGCAGGTACTGATTCAGGCTCTTGTCATCTCCTTCCTGGACTACTGCAGGTCTCCCTGCTACTGCCATTCGACCTCTGCAGCTCATCCAGAATGCAGCAGCGCGACTGGTCTTCAACCTTCCTACATTCTCCCACACTACTCCTCTCTTCACTGGCTACCGGTGGCTGCCCTCATCCAGTTCAAAACATTGGTGCTCACCTACCATGCTGTGAATGGATCGGGTCCAGCTTACATCCAGGACATGGTCAAACGCTATATCCTGTACTCTGCGCTCTGCATCTGCAAACCTGCTTGTTCATCCCTCACTGAGAGCAAAAAACTCAACTAGATCACAACTCTGTGCTGTCCTGGTTGGGGTCTTTACATCTTCTGCCCGCAAACTAGACACACACCTCTTCAGACTATACCTGGACTAAAAAACACAAAACAAACTGCAGCACTTAAATTGTTCTTAGAATGGATCTATAGCAAGTTGTAAATTGGCTTATTTGATGAAATTGCACTTTCTTGTTTATTGTTCTTCTGAGTTTGTATCCCTATGGTTGAAACTTATTGTAAGTCGCTTTGGATAAAAGCGTCAGCTAAATGACATGTAATGTAATATCTAAAAGCAAGAAGAAACAAAAAGCACTTCTTAGTAACAAACAATACTGATGCTGTCAGGGATGTGTGGGGAAGGCAGGACCCAAATGCAGACGTAGAGACGCTAGTTAAGTACGCACGCGCACACACTAGGGCCAGCTTAAATACACTTGGGAGGTGCAAGTGATTGGACACAGGTGGAAACAATCAGACAATCACAGACGATGACAGGACAAGGCAGGAAGTGAAGTTACCCAGGGAGACAAGAAGCAGAAAACTACAAAATAAGACAGGAAATGAAACCACACCGTGACAGATGCAACATGCTGCACTTGTTTGTTGCCAAACTTTATCACTGTGTTTCAGTTTCACGGCTCGTATCGCCTCATTTTGTGCCGCAGGAGGCAGCTGTTTCAGTCATTGGACTATACAAAAATAAAAAATAAAGCACATATTCATTCATATTCAGCACCTATTTTACCTGCCAAGACTGATACGCGAACAAACAAAGGTAGTGATTACCTGGAGAAGATAGTGGAACATTTAGTGGCTATGTGAAGCTGAGCTATACTGAAATCAGGAAAAAGGTCAGAATAGAGAGGAAAGGACTAAAAGAGTGTGTGTATATTTGGTTGTACACACACAACCACACACAGGGACACACACGCTGAAGACGCTATGGGGCTCATTTGATTGGAGAACAGGAGCTTGTATAACATCTGGCTGCACAGTTTTGGCCAGTGTGTGTGTGTGTGTGTGTGTTTGAGGGGGGTTGACTGGCTGGCAGCACCCGCTTGCCGTTACCCGCGGCAACAATGATTGCATTTCCCCCTGTATGAACCTGTGTAACTGTGTCAGGCGAGCTGCGCTGCCTCTATGAGAAATATGTTGGTAGCAACAGTGTGTATGTGTTTGTTTCACATCCAAGTGCATGTTCAACTCTCTCTCTCTCTCTCTCTCTCTCTCTCACACACACACACACAGTAATCAGATTGTAGACTTTCCCTCAAACTGCTGCTTCCTTGTAGAATGGTATTTATTGAAGAAGAAAAAAAGTTTATTTGATAGACAAGGGAACCCAATGGTGGTGTTAAAATGGCTCAAGCTTTGCTCAAAAGTGCCATGATTTCACACCTCTAGAAGCAAACCCTACTTAAACAGGGTTGTTAAACAAAGAAAGTCCATTCTCTTGCTCAGGTACAATGGGACTGTGAAATGGAATTAATGCCGCACGCTTGTTGTATTAAGTGCAAAATGTTGACACATCCCTCGCTCAACCACACGATACACTTGAATCAGCTTCTTAGCGAAATTATTATTATTAAGCTAAGTTACATTTTCTGTATGCTTATGATTCACACACACATTCAGATGTGTGTCAGCAGTGTAGGTCACATCCTGCCAATTCAATAATTAGCGGTTGCCTCTAAATGTGCTCTTACCTACAAACACACACACACACATAACGACAGAGCCTGGGCAAGGGAAATTACACAGCCCCAAAATACCGTCATCACTGAGCGGACCACATCCACACACACACAGTATGACACAGTTGTGTGTCATTGTCTCAAGAGAAGGTTGTTGAATGGTTTGTGTTGTTTTAGCTTCATAATGACTCCACTGGTTACACGTCATCCTCCACTGTCTTAAGGTCCTTTCTTGTAACTAAAAGAAACTCAGGGTTTCATGGAACCCTTTCAGGAGTCCCGTCTTGCGCTCTGAGGAACTAATTCAGACCTCGCTGGCTGTAAACGCAGCCCGTTATTACTCACTGGGCAGTCGGTGTTCCTGCGGGGCGGGTGAAGAGGTCTTTGAACGCAGCAGCGGGCAGGTGAACTCGGTAGCGACACGAGGATGAGGTTTCGCGTTTGCGGGGCGCCATAAACGCAGCATAACATAGTCCACAACTATTGCAGGGTCTTGACATGATGGGAATGAGCTACTGCATCTGTCATTCATCTCAGTTGTTGATTCAATAAATCACTAGAACTACTTCGAAACATTTTAATATTTTAAATATGAATATCAAGATCAAAGGAGACAGATTTAACTTTATAGAGTACAAATGTTTGTTTGCCTTTCTGACTCTCTACAATATCTCTGGACTTGTTGTGGGGACCCGCAGGTGAAACACGGATATTAAATCACTATAGCAACGGGTAAGAAAATTGAGTACAGCTTCTGCGTAAACGCACCGGAGCAGAATAAAAGCACAGCAGAAAGCAAACACTGCTGCCACGCGCATCTTCGGCTGAGCCACCATCTCCATATGTAGAAAACACCCTTTGGGTGAAATGAGGAAAACAGGAACCTCCTTACATGTGTGTCATCCTTCCTCTTTATTTTACAACTGTGCACGTGCTCTATGCCTTCGTTACAGAGTGCTCAAGCTTAAATAGCACTGTTGCCAGGGCAGCAATTAAGTGCCAATTATAGTCTGTATTCTCAATGTGGCTCCGACAGCAGAAGATGAAGACAAGCGAGAAAAAAAGAGAG